AGCTCAACACATGCAAAAGACGGTAAGAAAAAGAAAAAATCAAAACTATAAATATTTACTACTAATGATTGTTAATATATAAGACACCAAAAACTCATTTATCCCATATAGATGCATGTAAAATGAATGGTGGTCCAGCCAGACCACTCCGACCGTTCGAAGGTAAATAAATATCCGACCGACGGATTAAAGTTAAAATGTTTATTTATCTATGCCGATTTCCTTGTCGATATCAGTACGCATACAACGTTGATGCCGGTACGCATACAACGACAGCTCTCTATTCACATACACGACGACTAATCACAATCGACCCGTGTATAAATGATTTCATCGAAAGCGAATGACGCACAGTTCTGGCGTAACGCATTTTCGTTGCATTTGTACGGATTTACACCCTAGTCGCGCCTAAAGAAGTTTTACTTCAAAAACTTTTTTGTTAAAAATCTACAAACCTCTCCAGTATCCGTGACTGCCAAACAATGCAAAGCACCAACTGCAACATCTATAACACGTTTTCCTTTAAGCGCCTGCACTAAAGTAGGTCTCCTGACATGCTGATCAGTCCCATGGCCCAATCGATAGTAATCACCTTTGCCCCATGTCCAAACCTTAAAGACAAACAAACAATTAAATCCTTAAAAACAAACAAACAATAAAATCAATTGACTAGAAAATACAATGAAGAGATACTATGGGAGCAATTCTGCCTCATAAAATAGCGTTGTCATGGCAACGCTCTCTTATGTTTGTTTCTTATTGATGAATATGTGACAATGTCCATTTGCTGTGCAATCAGGCGTATTATACACATAAGCAAGCAATGAATAATGTTATAACAAAATTCTAGATAATGCAGTTATCATAACATTCTTCCTTGGTAATAATATAATTATATTTTATTACCTTCATACAGGATAGCAATAATAAACCCTCATCCCTTATTAAAAAATTTCGAAATATTAAATAATTCCTCTCATTGTCATGCATCCTGTCCCTAAATCTATCATCATACCATTAATCCATTTTTTCTAAGAATCTCTAATCGTACCATGGAATCACCGGTTAATACCTGATTGGTCAAAAATGTAATGGGATGTCTCTTGAACCCACAAAAAAGAACCAATCAAAAAAATCATATAAAATTGTAAAATCATTATAATTTAGAAATATCAAAAATTTCATCTAGCAAACATAAGTATTAATTCAAACTTCAACTAAGTAACATATCATCTATAAGTCTTAATATTTCATTCAAATATACAACAATTAAACTACTTATCATCTTTTAATCGGTCTGATATAGCCACTATCTAAACTAGCTGTAAGTGGAATTCTGTCTTGAGGCAATTATGGCATCGTGCCTTAAGGCAAATTGCTGGAACTTACAGTACCGTAACGAAATGTTCGAGCAAAAAAAATTAATAACTAGTAGGGTGGGTGGCATCGTGCCTTAAGGCAAATTGCTGGAACTTCCCGTACCGTAACGAAATGTTCAAGAAATACTGAATGTTTTCAAATAGATTATTATAAATATTGTAACATTGTCTAATATTTATAAGAATTATATGAACTGAATTGCAAAGTTGAAATTATTTGTAAAGTATATTAGAACTATAGTCAGAATTAAAAATAAAATCTGAAATATTTTCGATACAAAATACAAAAAACTAAAAAAAAAAAAATGGAACAAAATTTTTCAATCAATTATTTAAATCGGACGCTTAGCTCTCTCAAAAACTGCCATTTTTTACATATTTAGCTTCGTATCTTCAAAATGGCTGGGCCTGCCTTTGCCAAAAACTAATAAACAATTCTCCCAATCATTACTAATTGAATGTTTTTTAGATCATTCAAATCGGATACTCCGTTCTCTCAAAAATTCGATTTCTATTTTCTGCACTCTTTGCTCCGTATCTCCGAAACGGCTGGACCTGCCTTTGCCAAAAACTAATCAGCTCTTTTCCCTATCGATAGGAATCGAATGTTTTTTGAACCATTCAAATCGGTTGATTCGTGCGCCCGAAAACGTGACTGGAAATTTGTATCCATACATATATACACACACACACACATCCATTTTTTCTGAAGTATGCCAAAACGTTCAGAAACCTTCAAAACGTCGAGAAATGTAAAAATTTTCAATTCCGATTTTCGGCCCATTACAATAACTTACCCTACGGGAAGTTAATATATCTGGTCCTTCGAAAAATATAAATAAAGTGCAAGTGTATTTAATAGAGTTCGGCAGCATCTCGGTGAATCACGAACTTCTATACATTTTTGCAAACTATCTTGTCACAACTTTCTTTTATGAGGCAGAATTTCCCGGTATATTTTTTTTATTTCACTCACCTCTCCTTTATCGGTGAGTGCCAAACTAAACTGGGCCCCACATTCCAATCTCCGGACACCCAAACCTGTGAGACGTTCCACACATTTAGGCACAGAACATCCTTCAGAACCTCCACGGCCGAGTTTACCAAAATCTCCATCACCCCAGGAAAACACAAGACCCTAGAGATAAAAAAATCACAATTAAACCATATAAATATATTGTTAGTTAACTAATTAAACAAATCAATGTCCTTACTTGATCGGTCAGGCACAAAGTTTGTGCATCTCTGCTGCCACAAGCAATTTGCACCACACGGTGACCAGATAAAGCTTTCACCTACATTAAAAAAAATAATCATTGATTGGATATTTATTATGTATGATTAAGGTATTTGTTTAACAAAATATCTAACCAATTTGGGTTTAACTTGTGTGCAATTGTCACCATGTCCGAGACGACCATATTCTCCAAGACCCCACGTGTACAATTCACCACTGCTCGTTATTGCAGCACTGGAAGAAAAGTTACATATAACTAGTTGGTTTGGTATTTAGCCTTGAGGCAAGTTACATGAACTTCCCGATATGTGTAAATAGTCGACTTAATCAAAAAAAAATGTGTAAATAATATACTGCATCAATCCTACTTAAAAAAAAAAACGATAATAATTTTAGCATACTTTGACGAATTTTTAAAATTAAACTACTTGTCGTAAGGCCGTAATATTACAGTAAGTTCTATAAGACCATGATGTATATCGCCAAAAAAAAGTTCCATGAAAATCGGCTTAAATTTTTTTTCAACAGTTCATTACAAGAAAACGGCTCGGTAGATTTTCACCTAAAATTAATCATTACCATTCCCAACTAATATCTTTCAAACAGTTTTTGATTTTTTAAAATCGATTCGGTAGGATGAGCTTAAGTGGACAAAAAGTTTAACACTTTTTTTCAAATTGCAAAGAAACGGCTTGGCAGACCGTCACACAAAACTGACAAACGATAGTCCTCACCGAAATACATCAAATAGCTTTTAAATTTCTAAAATCGGCCCAGGCGTTTTTGAGAAAACGTCGATCAAAGGTCTAATTTTGACAAATGCCAAACAAACGATGAAATTTTTGCAAACGCAAAATTTTTAAAGCTGAACCTAATATTTTAGTATGATATAGAAGACTATGGTATCTACCGTCAAAAAAATAATCATAAAAATCATCGATTTTTTTTTAAAAAAAACTTTATTACAAGAAAACGACCCGGCCGATCTTTACCAAAAACTAATCAGCACGATTCCCAACCAATATCTATCGAACGGTTTTTGAATTTTCAGAATCGATTCAGAATTGCGGGCTAAATCGTGGACGAAAAAATTTTCACTTTTCTGCAATTTGCAAAGAAACGGCCCGGCCGATCGCCGCACAAAACTCAGATAGTCCTCATCGAGATACATCGAATGGCTTTTAAATTTTTGAAATCGGTCCAGCCGTTTTTGAGAAAACGGCGATTTACGGCAAAAAATCTGTTGGTGCACACGCACACACACACACATACTTTTTCCTTAAATGTTGGTCCCATTCGATTCAGAATGGCTTGAAACGTCGAGAAAACATAAAATTAGTGAATCGGATTTTTTTATGAAAACATAAACTTCTCCTTCGGGAAGTTAAATATTTTTAGAACTGATAATTGGCATATTGAATGATATAAAGTAGTAAAGGTTTATTATTGTTAAAGTCTTACCTATGTGATGATCCACAGGCAATGTCACGGATTCTTTTATTCTTCAACGATTCAATCAAACGTGGCTTCTCCAAAGTCAATCTGTTTCCATGCCCCAATTTTCCATCCTCGCCTTCTCCCCAGGAAAATACCTAGATAAAATATTACATTTATAATATAATAATGAACATTAATATAGGAACCAATTGTGCCGCATAACAGAACAATGTTATGGCAAGGCCATGTTACGCTCCGACTTCCACACATTATGCTACTGAATTATACTGAACACTGTCAAAATTTCCATGTATTTGCTGTGCATTCAGGAGTTTTACACATAAACTGCAACGTCACTCGTATGTTATGAAGCTGAGTCAGAAAGACCCTGTTATCTAACATCGTTTTTATTGACATTTGTGCGGTTTCCTTGAAAACCTACCAAACTTATTAGTCATCGCAAATATTGAAAATCGGATGAGTAATGCGCATATTATCAAAAATTTTTCGTATGTTATAAAGCTAGGTCAGAAAAGCCCTGTTATCTAAGATCGTTTTCATTGGCATTTGTGCGATTTCTAGATTAGGTTTTTTATATGACAACCTGAGAAATACGCCTGACTGCACAGCAACCACATGACTTTTCCAATATTTAGTATGGAAAGTTCTTCATAACATGGCTTTGCCATAACATTTTTCTGTTATTCGACAGAATTGGTCCCAAAATTCTGTTGGACAAATGCTCCTTTACATTTACTATAAATCAATATCCATTACCTTTCCATCGAGAGTCAAAGCCATAGCATGTTTCCCACCAGAATGCACAGCCACTTTCCTGATGACATGTTGAGCTAAAAATGGTACTGGTCGTGGTTGACATACGTTATTTGTATGACCCATACCAAGACGACCATTTGTGCCTTCTCCACAAGCATAAAGCTGTAAAAAAAGATCAAGATTATATATATATATATATATATATATATATATATATATATATATGTTACGGTAAATGTGCATATTTCGGTGAATGTGCACATTCACCGGTGAATGTGCACATTTACCGGCTTATTTGGCGAATGTGAGTTCAACTAGCGCGCGTGCGCACGTGCGGGTGAAATACTAATTCATATATTTATATTTATATTTATATTTATATTTATATTTATATTTATATTTATATTTATATTTATATTTATATTTATATTTATATTTATATTTATATTTATATTTATATTTATATTTATATTTATATTTATATTTATATTTATATTTATATTTATATTTATATTTATATTTATTTATTTTATATTTTTTTATTTTCTTTATATTTCTATTTATATTTATCTTTCTCTTTCTATTTCTATTTATATTTATCTTTATCTTATATTTATATTTCTATTTATATTTATCTTTATATTCATTATTTTAGTCATATGCATATTATTACCCATTATTTATTACTATTGACCAATAACCAATTTATTTAACTATTTCATTAATAACTATTAACTATTTAACCATTAACTATTACCTATTTAACTATTCTTAATTCACTATTTACTAATAATGATTCCCTTTTTGCTAATATCTATTCACTATTTACTATTAACTATTCAGTTATCACTCTTCACGATTCACTACTTTACTATTCAACTACTATTATATATCTTGATCAAAATGAACAAATCTTCAACAGAATGTTATTAATCATTTATCACCATAACACCATTTTGGTACAAAATTTGTAACATGCTTGACGTATTTCGCGCATAGTCTTTATTGCGCATGCGTCAAATACGCGAGATGTTCATAAGACCGATCCAAGTACGCACGTACACCATTGTTTTAAACTGATTGTTTGAGAACTCCACATTCACCTAGCGTTTTGGGGAATGTGCACATTTACCGGTGAATGTGCACATTCACCGAGAGTGCACATTTACCGTAACATATATATCTTGAGGATTTTTTGTTCGACGTTGAAACATATTGAAATGAATAAAACAGCCAATGCGTCGAATGTAAAGATTTATTTTAATTTTTTATACGTTTCGAGACTAGATGTGTCTCATCATTCAGCTAAAAGAAATTTATATTATAAAGAAAAAGTTTTAAAAAATGAATTTATACATTGAAAAAATTAATTGAAAACAACAAATTATACACACCAGATCAGGAAAAACTACACTATACTAACACATTTTACAACACCACAATCACATGATACTACAGTAGGTAAGCAAAAATAATTTAAGAAAAGACCAAAAAAGGTAAAAGTAAAATTGTATGAAACACATATTTATGTTTTTAACAGATAGCATAGCAACAACGCAGTTTGACTTATTTGCGTCGGCGACGCGTAGTTCGCTCTGCTACCCGAACGCGAGCATGGAAAAGAGGGGATATCAGAAGCGTAGTAGAGAGTCAGATTTACAGAAATTAATTATATTTTGATAACTTTCTGAGAGTAAGCAAGAAGAACTGCGTTTGTTCACACAATTTGAATTTAAAAAGATAAAACATGATTCGGAAAATCTTCTAAGGTCTACATTTTTTTCTTTATATAAAATTATAGGATGGTCAGTATTAAAAGAGTGTTTGAAATTAATAATGTGCTAAGAAAACATTGTTTTAAATTGTCTAGGATTTTTTGAATTATAAATATGTTGATTCATTCTTTTACTAATGTATTGGGAACTTTCACCGATGTAACAACTGTCACAATCTAAACAATTAATTTTATAAACGGCATCGGTGATTCTGTCAGACGGAGATTTTGATTTTAAAGTAGAAAACAGGGAACTGAGTGTGTTATCAAAAGTAAAAACTAAAAGAAAACCTTCAACAGAAAGAAGTTTTTTTTTAAAATAAGAAAAGCTACCCAAATAAGGTAAAAAAATAATGCCAAAATAAAGTGTCTGTTAAAAGTCTAAGTGTTGTATTGTTCCTATTTAACATTAAATATATATATATATATATATATATATATTAAATTTTTTATATAATATATATATATATATATATATATATATATATATATATATATGTATTGGAAGTTGTGATGATCGGTCACATTACCTTTCCGTGTTGAGATATGACAAATAGAGATTTAGAGCCTCCGACAATGTAAATAGGTTTCAGTGCAGTCAGATAGCCTGAGAGTACTGGTAGTTTAACTTTGGAACCTTTTAAACCACCAAGTTGGTCTTTGTCATTTAAACCCCACACCAAAACCTAAAAAAGGATAAATGAATTTTAACAACAGCTAGTTTTTTAATATCATATGTAAAGCTGTACTGGTACTTTTATACAAATACTGTATTCATTTCAGGCAGACATAATAAATAAACTAGTGGTGTATGGCATCGTGCCTTAAGGCAAATTGCTGGAACTTCCCGTATCAAAAATTATTATTTTTTTAAAAACGAATAACATTTTTGAAAAAAAAAATTACTTCGAAAAAATTAGATTTCTGAGAAACACTAAATTGAAGAAAAAATTACATTTTTTGAAAAAAAATTTTTTCAAAAAAAAAAATTTCTTTTTTTTTTAAATTTTTTTTTTGAAAAAAAAAATGTTTTGTTTATTTTGACATATTTTGGAAGATGTGAACTTTTTTTCAAAGCAATCGTAGTGCTTTAACTTCATAGAGACAAAATATAAAACGCGTAAGCGCCGCGTCGCCGTCTAACGGATAAATATTGGTACGGAACCCATTGGAATGTAAACAAAATTTATACTTATTGTTAAAATCTCTATAAAATATCTGATAATTTAATGTGCATATGTCTAATGATCATTTTTGACCGCCAGATGGCATTTTTTTTTACTATTTTCGTTAGATCTCCGAAACCGCTAGACCTGCCCTTATAAAAATTTGATCAATTATTCATCTTGTCAATACAAGTAAAATGTTTTTTGAATTATTAAAATCGGACGCTCCGTTCTCTTAAAAACTGTGTTACCGTTTATGGCACTTTTTGCCCCATAACTTCGGAACGGCTAGACCTGCCTTTGCCAAAAACTAATCAGCACGCCTTCTTATCAATACGAATCGAATGTTTTTTAAATTATTCAAATCGGTTGATCCGTGTTTCCAAAATCGTCGACGAAAATTTGTATCCGCACACACACACACACACATGTATCCATTTTTTCTAAGGTATGCCAAAATGTTCAAAAGCTTTTGAAACGTAAAGATATATAAAAATTTTCATTTTCGATTTTTTTGCGATTACTATAACTTGCCCTACGGGAAGTTAACTAGTGGTATATGACATCGTGCTTCAAAGCAAATTGCTGGAACTTCCCGTACCGTGATGAAATATTCGAGAAATTTTAAACGTTTTCAAATATATTACTACAAATACTGTAACTTTCATTATTTTTGCTATCTTGTTATATCTGAGCAAATCAAATGTAAATCACAAATCAATTTACCTCCTCCAGAACATTAACAATCGTCATTTCATTTCGAATTCAATTTAAAAAAAAAATAGTTGCCTAATTTACACAAAATTGAAAAAGTGCTCCTATTTGCAAATAATTCTGTACGACATTTTCACTTATACTGTGCTTAGCTTGGCGGCATTTTCACGTTTTTCAATAGTTTTCGTTTCCACAAAATTGGAAAAGGGCTCCAATACATAAACAGTCTAAACGCACTTGAGTGGACATTTGTACCAGAGTGGCGCTTAGACTGTGCTTAGCTTGGGTAATAATTTGAATTTTTAATCCAAAATTACAAAAATGTTTTATGGAAAATAAAAAATATGTAATAATTTTTTATCCTCAAAAGCAATTTTGTCAATACAAGCAGAAAGTTTTTTAGATCATTCAAATCGGACGCTTAGTTCTCTCAAAAACTGTAATTTTTTGCACATTTAGCTCTGTATCTTCGAAATGGCGGGACCTGTTTTTGCTAAAAACTAATCACCTCTTCTCCCAATATTACAAATTGAATGTTATTTAGATCAATCAAATCCGATACTCCGTTCTCTCAAAAACTAGTTTTGTATTTTCTGCACTCTTTGCTTCGTATGTCCGTAACGACTGGACCTGCCATTGCCAAAAACTAATCAGCACATCTTCCTATCAATAGGAATCGAATGTTTTTTAAACCATTAAAATCGGTTGATCTGTGCGCCCAAAAACGTGGACGAAAAATTTTATCCATACATACACACACACACATCCATTTTTTCTGAGGTATGCCCCTTAAAAATGTTCAGAAACCTTCAAAACATCGAGAAATGCAAAAATCTTCATTTTCGATTTTCGGCCCATTACTATAACTACCCTACAGGAAGTTAAAAAATGAATGTCTTATTTATTTTATTTATTTATTTATTCATAAGCAAGCCGTTATCAATAATAATAGATATTATTTCAGGCTCTTGTCAAGCTTATTCATAATTAATATAAACGGATAGTAATATTATAATAATCATAATAGCTGCACGGATTTCGCTTCCGAAAAAAAAGAGCTGAAAAACAGCATTCGAACATTAAATACAATGTTCTTCATCATCATCAAGTTCATCATATTAAAGTCTATTTGACCACCAGTCAAGCTCAAAATTCTTGCACAAAGTTGAAAGTTATACTCATTTAAAAAATTTATATTAATAAAACAGCAATAAAAAAAAAATGAAAAAAAAAATATATGGTTGTACAGGCGATCAAATGGTCAGACTACATAGATACAGGAGAAAATTCAGTAATGTCATAAAAAGCTAATTCTTTAAAAAGTTTAACTAGGGAAGCATGAAAATTTTTTGTTGTCTAAGTTTCGGATATTGAGTGGAAGTTTATTCATAAGCTGAATACCTAGACCGTCGATCGTATTGAAAGAGCTGGCTAATTACCTGATTCCCATCGCTCCCATAATCAACACCATCCCCGTTCATGCCTCCAGCTCCATTACTTCCAGCCACAAAATTCAAATCCTCGCAAAAACTATCATTGTAATCGGTTGCCATAAATTGGAATTCGTTGTTCATGGGCACTGTGTCCATTTGATCACCATTTTCGATGCCAGCAAGAGCAGCAGCAGAGGCCGACGTGGAAGGATCCTGCAATCTCTTCAATCTTTTTCCCAGGAATTTAATATTTTGAACCCGACAGTCGATGCCTCCGCCCCTGACCTGCTTGATGTAGATCTCGATGCAGCGATAGTAGGCCTGGACGTCCGATAGAAGAACAATCTGGGAAAAGGATAAATATTATATTATTATTATAAGAATTATAAGAATGTCATCACTTCAACTTGGAACAGATATTCCAAAGATCATAAAAAGATTCCTAAAATCATAAAAAATCCCATAACAAACTTCAGAAAGATTTATCAAAATTCGAATAATCGTTTAGGAGGAATATACTTTCATACAAGAATTTTAACGCTCAAATTGATTCTACGTTTTAGTTAGAAAATGTTTGTATGTGAAAAGGAAAAATCAAGTATATTTTACAATAAAAATACCTTTAATGCTATTTTATGTTGAAAACGATGAAAAATGACACATATTGTAAAGTTTCTGGATATATTATATAATGCTTAATACCAAGCATTTATTTAATCTCATGCATTTTGTTTCATGGCGTTTTTAACATATTTATTCATTACTAGCTGACCCGGCAAACGTTGTTTTGCTAAATAAGGTATATTCTAGACAATTTCTAGAGAATCAAAAATATTAATACTTTAAGTATATAAGGATGTGTTGTTTGAATACTTCTTTCAAAAATTTGTTATCTAGATCTTTTTACCCTGTAGGCGGGGTAACTTGAAACGAGCAGGTGGCAAAAAGATTTAAAGCCTTATTATAGTTTTAAAGGTATTTTACAAAATAATTACATTTTTAACTAATGCTTAAAAACTACCAACGGAAGAAAATACTTTTATTATGGATTCTCAAAGATTACCGTTTATCTCCCCCATTTCAAAGATTACCGTTTTCAAATCAAGCTTGTAGCTGGCTATAAATCTTTTTTCCTCTACTTTCAAATATTGTTGTTAAACAATGCTTAACTTTACTGATTTTTGACAAATCGGTGGTTGGCCTTTTTAACCCCGGACCTTCATATGTTACTATCTATTCTGCGATAAATTCTGGGAAATTATCACTGGAAAAATGTTATTCGACAAAAGGTCTATTTGATCGATACCAAATTTAGATTCTGAATTTAAATAACATAAATAAAAAATATAACCTAGAAAATGTTTTATAAATACCAATGAGCATATAATTATACAAATAAGATCTTTCAGAGCACCGTGTTTGAGAAAAATATGCTAAAAATGCATTTTCATATTGACATATCAAAAAAGTTTATATTTGAGTCTCTAGTAACACTTGGGGCCCGTTTACTAACGTTTTTATATATAAATAAAACTACAAACAAAACTACTTACTACAAATTTATCACAAATAAATAATATTCGCGTAAAACATCCTATTAAACGTAATTGAACATCATCTGTCACGAAATTGCCACCGTCCATTGTTTTATTTAAATTACGCTTCTACAAAAATTTTCTAATTCAAAATGTAAAGTTTCTACGCGGATTTGAAATAATTTCTCACCTTTTGGACTTTCTGTGGATTGACACGAATTTTTCAAGACTAAGACTGGCCAAATCGATTCAGCCGTTTTCGAGTTTTATTCGGACATTTGAAAGAGAGCTCCATTTTCATATATAAGATATCACATTGCTTTATTAAACGAAATCTTACTTTAATCAGTTTTGAGTATACTATCAATAGAGAATTTTAATTACAATCAAATTTGGAACAGAATTAATTAAGATTTCTTTGTGTCGACAGAAACACTCGCGCCAAATATACTTAAGCAAAAGATTCCATCTATGTAGATATCAACCACAAAAAGCATTCTTAGTTTTACATAATTGCGTTTAATAGATTTCGAAAAGAATTACATTATTTTTTAAATATATGATTTATATATATTTTAGGATTTTAGGATATAAATGGAATGGAGGAATATTATATTTAAGTGTTTTTATTACGTATATCGTTGCAATTTTGATTAAGACCTATTTAAATATTCTATTCCCCAATTCACTTATACTGGAGTTGGCAAGTCTTCAAAAAATTTAAAAATAAGTGCTCATTATGCAAAAATATCTTAATTTTTTACGAAATTGTTAGTTTAAAAAGCAAATTCTTGCTTTTGGAAGTTAAAGACATAATATGTACAAATATTGATAATGATTAAAATAATTTTAGTGGCAGACATTATATCACAAAAGCATTTACATTATCAGTTTATATTTGCAAAACCTAATAATGTGTCTAAATTTGTAACAAAGTGAAGGATATAAGCAATTTAATGTATTATCCAAAAAGTAATAATATATGAATGACGATGGCAAATATATTACAATCAAAATATATACATATAGTATACTACTCTTGCAGAAATATTTCATTAAATTTACACCTATTAACAATATTCTGCAATTGTCAGAAACGCAATATTACTAAATGGGAAGTCGAAATCATTATATGTATATGTATATGCATAAACAATTAAAATACTTACAATTAAAATATACCTAATATTAATTTTTATCATTTTTGTTATTAGATCTAAATAACCAGGGCTTAATTTATATATAATCAGATCATTAGAATCAATTTAATATATTTAAAGCAAAAATTGTATGTAAATATTCCAAACACTGTTGTAAGTGCCCCCTCAAATATAAAAATGTGTTTATATAATAAAGTGCATTTTATTATCCAACAATTTCATATTTGAATCATTTGAAATTATGGACTTGAATCAAAATGTTAACAGTGTTTACAAAAATTGTATTTGGTATTCTTTTTATATCTATACGCTTTCTATTTATAAACTTAATGGGACTTTTAAAAATTAAAATTTTGATAATCATATCTATCATATCAGTACATATATTTTAAGTTTAGCCATATTTAATGTATAAAACCATTTTGAGGTATTTTACGTATACATAGTTTACAAACGACAATCGTATACCTGTTTGGAAAAATAAAAATCTTAAAAAATATAATTTCTGTTTCAGAATCAGTATACAAATTAAGTGAATCTCAAGATTTGTTATTTAGGATTAGAAAATCGAACATAAAAATCCAAAATAAAATGAAAACTTTAAGATATTTAATATATTTTATAAGATTATTAAAGTAATAGATGACCCGACAGACGTTGTCCTGAACCCACATCTACATTTTTTTAATATCCTATACTAATATTTACCGTCCAGTTAAAAAAAATCATTATTGTTTTTCGAATTACTATTTACACCAATATATGAGTGATGTTAAATGTAGAACTGCTTCAAATAAAATGATGATTCTCAATTCCCACAGTTAACACTTTAATTATCCCTTTAACAAATATTAAAATATGTTCAATAAAATTGGATATCAAAAATTATACACTGCAATTTATAGAACAAATTTATTTCCAATAGCTCAATTTATTTTAATGTCAAAGGTTATACAATATTTTCAGTCATACCTGTAGATGTGGATGTATAAATGAATGATTTTTTGTTTATTCACGACTAAAACATTGATTTTCCAAATTTTTCAAAAAATCATCGTCTGCCTTTCTGATGTGTTTATGGTCTTTTAAAAGGTATAACAAATTCATAAAGAATTAATGTATAGCATTCGCGGTAAAGGTACAATATCACCTGGGAATTTTCTACACAAAATAATTGCTTCAATATTATTGTCTATAATTTTTATAATTTCGTACCATATTTTAACTGGCTTTGAGTAATTTTAATATCTAAATTACATTTTTCTCACTTATAATTCAATAAACATCATTACTTAAGTTCATATTGGAAGTAAATTAATTTGACAAATTCTGTTCTCATGTGCTCTATTCAACCTACGATCAACAAACCTATTGCAGTAAATGGAGAGGAAAAAGCATGTGCCGTGTGAATTTTTTTTACTGTGCTCCAATTTGCATGATATTTTGGCAATAGGCTAATCTTAATCTCAAGTTCAGAAGTGAAAACAATTTGCACTCCGTCACCACCCCCGGAATTAATTGAATTACAATTCTTTTAATTCTGACTTTATCGGAACTTGTAATGTACTATTTTAAAGGTAATGGCAAATAACATTCTTTTCAATGCCAAACAATGCCTCAAATATTTTTAATGTCAATGAATGATAAGCGGTTTTTTATAATTTTTTTCATTTATTTCTACAATCTAACTATATTTCTATAATTCAAAAAATCATAAAAAATTCCCATAACAAACTTCAGAAAAATTTATCAAAATTCGAATAATCGTTTAGGAGGATTATTCTTTTATACAAGAATTTTAACGCTCAAATTGATTCTACGTTTTAGTTTGAAAACGTTTGTATGTGAAAAGGGCTGTTTTTAAGGGTTTCCCGGCAATTATTTGATTTTTTCTTGCCGTAAGAACCATCCTTGGACTTCAACGAACATTTTTAAAAAGAATTGGCCAAATTGGTCCAGGCGTTGTTGAGTTATGCGCTTACCAACACATTTTGCGATTCATTTTTATATTATAGATTAAATATATCACATGAATCACTTACCCTGGAATCGTTAGATCTGGTTGTTAAATAATTCAATTTAGCCATCGATACGAAATTGTCGCCTCCTCGAACGACTATTGTGTAGGGCATGTAGTTCAAATCTTGTGGATTTACAGTCATGAATAATTTGTGAACTACGACGTACTCCACGATTTCCAAACGGATGAAATGCTGATAAACAAAAATGGAAATAAATAATTGGAAAAAAGACAATATTAGAATCGAGTATATAAAATAAGTTAATAATATATAACTTACATTTCCAGACGTTGAAGAATTGCTTTGCCAGTAGGCGGTCGTATCGTCCAGCAATTTATTCTTCAAACTCTCACCAGATGATACAGCCAAAGATCGGACACATTCTGACCATTCTTCCAAGATTTGACCTAAAGAAAAAAAACAATAATTAACATATCATCTTTAGTGCAGTAAACGGAGCGTTTTAGATCTGAATTTTTTTTACTGTGCTCCGAATTGAATAAAATTTTGGAATTAGGTTCATCTTACCCTCAAGTTCAAAGGTGAAAACAATTCGGGTTCCCACACCCCTTCTCAATTGTGTAATTACATTTTTTCAAAAGAAATGTCGGAAATCGATAGAAGAACTAATTATAAGAAAAAAAATGTCTTCTATAGTTTTTCAAAAAAACTAATACTTTTCAAGTTTCTGGCCACTAAAGATTCATATATTTTTGGCGTGTTTCTTCGTTTTTTTGCAAATATCTCCTAAAATATACATTTTAACGACAATCATGTAATGAACAAAATAATGTCAATAAAAATCTTAATAAATCGTTATTACATAAAGTGTTCTAGGAAAAATATTAAGCAAGATTTGAAAGAGCAGTCATTTTTTATTTCGTTCAAAATTTAATTGTTGTATTTAAAGCCATCTAATGTCGAGGTTTTACATTTTATGCATTACGGTGAAATTGGGTTTTATGGTGTTCAACATAAGCTTTAAAATTAGTGCTGTTACAAGTTTTTACGTGTAAAATGAGTGAGCTATCATGCAAATAAGAAGTTTTTTTCTTTTAAATCATATGGTTAAATGAGCGCCATTTCCACTAGAATTAAAGTAATTCACATTCCATCTAGAATTCACTTCATTATAGACATCTTGATGGATTCTAGCAGATTCACTACTTTAGTACAAACTAGTTTCAGAAAACTCACGATTTACTTAAAACTTTATTTTCCGATTTTTTTAAAAATCCAACTTATTCTCATTATATCAGGAAAAGAATAAAAGATACGTAAAAAACCATATAGATAAAAATTAAAAGGATCTTTATGGCTTATTATTGTTTTTTATTATTTTTCTTTCACACAAAAATTTACAGAGTTATGAATGTTTAAAGAGTGCGCTGCGCAAATCGGCAATAAAAGTTTTTATAAAATCGTGAGTTTTCTGAAAATAGTTTGTACTAAAGTAGTGAATCTGCTAGAGTCCATCAAGATGTCTATGATGAACTAACGCGAATTGTTTTCAACTTTTGAACTTGAGGGTAAGATGAACCTAACTCCAAAATTTCATTCAATTCGGAGCACAGTAAACAAATTTAGAGGTTATACCCTTTTTTCCTCTCCGTTTACTGCACTACTTAACATCTATGTCTCTGAATAGAATTTTTAAATTACAAGATTTATATCCACTACCTGCTACAGCTGTTCCAGTATTGCTCTCGCTTTCTGCAAGTAGATCTATTGTTCTACGTCGACTTTTAGTATCCGAAGAAGGTGGCACCAGCTCCATTTCGCTAAGTTGTCCAGCCCAGTTTGACTGCTCTCGGAAATTCACTGTTACATCACCAGTTTCTCGAGTAATTTCTGAAAAAAAAATAAAAAAAATTCACTTGTTTGTTCCAAGGATACCTCTTCAAATCACTCATAGCATTAGTTCAATGTTTCACTTATATTCAATTTTTTTTGACTCTGCTATTAGTTTAGTGATAGTGATAGTTATAAGTATAGTTTCTGTAGAAAATAGTTTTAGTAATTCAACCTTTGGATTTTTCACGAAAAATATGGACAAAAACGTTTCAATAAATTTGCAATTTTAATTGCTTGATCAAAATCATTTGTAAATATATACTTAACAAAAAAATTCACTTTGTGGTTAAATCTAATGAAATCTACCGCCCCACCCATTACTTAGGTCTCCTAATAGAGTTTATGGGTCCAAAGAGTTAGTTAGTTGGTTCTCGGTCAATGTAGGTATGTATGTCACATAAGAAAAATTGAGTACACCTTAAAGATCAGATCATGTATCATTAGCTAGAACATGTATCATTTTCCCATATTCTCGAAACAGTATAATATAGAAAATTATAAATATCGAGTGGATAATATTGCTGTATGCAAATATAGTCATGTCCATAAATACTTGTCGATAGATGAATTATTATATAGGTTTAGTTACCAAGATAAACCCAAACTTCTTCTTGTTTATATCTTATATATAAAATTATGACATATGTAAATATACTCCTCCTAAACGATTATTCGAATTTCGATAAATCTTCCTGAAGTTTGTTAAGGGTATTTTTTATGATGTATGTGATTATAAAAAATATAATAATACTAGATGACCCGACAGACGCTGCCCTGTACCCATGTCTACAATTTTTCGATATAATATACTAATATTTACCGTTTACCTAAAAATAATAATTATTGTTTGTTAAATTACTCTTCATGCCAAAATGAATATATATTTATAATATGAGCGATATTAAATGTAAAACTGCAAAATGATGAGTCTTAATTCCTACACTATATATTGGAAATTAAAGTCTTTTAAACGGTATAACATAACCATAACCATAACATTACACTGGTATTTCATGTTGGATTAAATTAATTTAATTTTTAATTATTTAAGATATCTAAAATTGTATCTTAAACTTCTACCGTATTCATCTCTACTTTACCATTTGTTGTTCTAAAGTAAAATTTTTACGAATTTTGAAAATATTGTGGAAAGATTAGTAAAAGATGCAAAGAAATTTTATATTGAAAAAAAAACTATATTAAAAATTTAATATCCAAATCTTGTGTTGGCGCCCCCTAAGGTGTGCGCTCGTATTTTTCGCATGCATCGCATTAAAGTTAGGACTGGCCCTGATTAATACTTAATTTCATATTTTAACTGACCATACTATCTTAAATAAAATGTCAAAAAAATAAAAAAAAGAGATATCTCATAGGAGATAATCTCTCAAATGCATTTACACCCAGCATATTGTCTTAAAAAATGTATATTATTTTGATTGGCAATAAAACTATGCAAAAAAAATTAAGTGAATTAAATTGTCATATTTGTTCATATATGTATCATTCAATCTGCCATACATATACTGTATCTTATATTATTTTAATTTCTGGCATATCTCAGCTGCTCTTTGGCAATAATAATGTAGACATTTCACTTTTCTTATTCATAATCATAAATTTATTATACATATTGTAACATTGTCTAGGTTCATAAGTAAATTGAAAATTTTGTCAGATGATACAGACAATGACATGCCGTTTTTTGCAATTTTTAACTTCCCGTAGGGCAAGTTATAGTAATCGCAAAAAAATCAAAAATGAAAATTTTATATATCTTTACGTTTCAGAGGTTTCTGAACATTTTGGCATACCTTAGAAAAAATGGATGTATGGGTGTGTGTGTGGTGTGTGTGTGTGTATGTGTGGTGTATGTATGTATGTGTGTGTATAGGTATGTGCGGATACAAATTTTCGTCGACGATTCGGGAACACGGATCACCGATTTGAATAATTCAAAACACATTCGATTTGTATTGATAAGGAGACGTGCTGATTAGTTTTTGGCGAAGGCAGGTCTAGCCGTTCCAAAGATAAGGGGCAAAAAGTGCCGAAACGGTAACTCAGTTTTTAAGAGAACGAAGCGTCCGATTTGAATAATTCAAAGAACATTTTACTTGTATTGACAAGATGAAGAATCGATAAAATTTTCATGAAGGTAGATCTAGCGGTTTCGGAGATATGAGGAAAAAGAAAAAGTAAAAAATGAGCCATTTGGCGGTCAAAAATAATCATTAGACATATGCACATCAAATTATCTGATATTTTATAGAGATTTTAACAATAAGTATAATTTTGGTTTACATTCCTATGGGTTCCGTACCAATGTTTACGCGTTAGACGTCGACGCGGCGCGCTACGCGGTTTGATATTTCGTCTTTATGCAGTTAAAGCAGTACGATTACTTGAAAAGAAAGTTCAGATCTTCCACAATATGTCAAAATAAAGAAAAAAAATTTTTTTCAAAAAAAAATTAAATTTTTTTTTTTTTTTTTTAAATTTTTTTTTCAAAAAAAAGTAATTTTTTGTCCAATTTATAGTCTTTCAAAAATCTTATTTTTTCGAAGTATAATTTTTTCAAAAATGTTAAAAAAATAATAATTTTTGGTACAGGAAGTTCCAGCAATTTTCCTTAAGGCACGATGCCTTAATTGCCTTAAGACAGAATTCCACTTACAGCTAGTTTTCATTTATTTCTACAATATTGCGCATGCATCCCAGTACTTTATAATCACATACATCTTAGAAAATTTCCTTAACAAACTTTAGAAAGATTTATCAAAATCCGAATAATAGTTTAGGAGGAGAATACAGTGAGTGCTTGTAATTTAATATGAACTTTAACAGTAATGAAGCTCAAATTGATTCTACGTTTTAGTTAGAAAACGTTTGTATGAGAAAAAAAGGGCTGTTTTTAGGGTTTTCCCTGCAATTATTCGATTTTTTCTCGCCGTAAGAACCATCTTTAGACTTGAACGAACATTTTAAAAAACGAATTGTCCAAATTGGTCCAGGCGTTGTTGAGTTATGCGCTTACCAACACATTTTGCGATTCATTTTTATAAATAAGATGTATTTGTATCTGTTATTCTCCTTACGTGTGATGACTCCGACACTGGAATGATCAACGCATCCCCACTTGTATCTCGGCGTGACGACACTCATCCTGACCCTGACCCTGTCTCCGACCTTCAATTCGCGCCCCAGAGCGCCGCCGCCGCTGCGAACGCCGTACCGATCGATAAACTCGGCCGCCGCCGCTTTGGCAGCCGACGACTTCGCATCGGCCACCAGCTCCAGGAAGATGAAAGGGACCCAGTTGCTGAAGCCCTGGTTGTACCATTTAACCTGGGGAAGAAGACGTTTATTTATTTATTTATTCAACGCCCAAGGCAATAATACAATATAAGGGTCATTCTTTTACAAATCGTATGAATTTTCGAAAAAATAAAATGTCACATTTTAGAATTGTCTGAAATTTTTTTTACAGATATTATACATAAAATCATTTGACACGTATTTTAGGATTTTGCTGACAAAAATTTTTGTACGTAAATATTTACGATTGAAATATGGATTTTTTGCTCAATTTCTATGAACATCATCTGCGGTAAATTAATTATCTCCGGATGTGCTGATCGGATCAGTATTATTTTTTTTATTACACTCATATTGAAGTGAACTTTGAAATGATTAAAATTTTTTTTTGTTCTTGCAATTTTCTTAACAATAACAACCCTTAAATATTTACAAAGGTTTTACTCAGCCTTACCCCAACTTGAATCGATCCAAAAAAAACATATTTTTTCTTTTTTTCTTTTTTTCTCGGCAACAAAATTCTTTTTACAATTTGTTGGAGACTTTGTTACATCGAAAGATATTAAATATTTTCATTGTACTCATTTGTCACTTTCGAATGACAATCTTATCGTTTTTCGGTTGAAAAATATTTTATAATTTCGCTTCTGGCGAAAAATGTTAAATATATAGTCGAAAAACAAACATTAGGGGAGAGCGGAGCTTAAACATAAAATTAGCGAATCGGATTTTTTGATGAAAACATAAACTTCTCCTTCGGGAAGTTAAAAATTAGAATATTAAGAGCTCATAGATAGCTCTGTGTATATACATAACACTTAATATAAATAAACTTCAAATATATAACATTAAATAAAAACTAACAAGTGGAGTGGGTGGCATCGTGCCTTAAGGCAAATTGCTGGAACTTCCCGTTCCGTAACGAAATGTTCGAGAAATACTGAATATTTCAAATAGATTATTATAAATATTGTAACATTGTCTAATATTTATAAGAATTATATGAACTGAATTGCAAAGTTGACATTATTTGTAAAGTATATTAAAACTATAGTCAGAATTAAAAATAAAATCTGAATTATTTTCGATATACAAAAAAAAAGTTGAAACAAAAATTTTTTTTCCAAAATCAATTATTTTGTTAAGACAAGCAGAAAGTTCTTTGAATCATTTAAATCGGACGCTTAGTTCTCTCAAAAACTTTTTTTACATATTTAGCTTCGTATCTTCGAAATGGCTGGGCCTGTCTTTGCCAAAAACTAATAAACACTTCTCCCAATCATTACTAATTGAATGTTTTTTAGATAATTCAAATCGGATACTCCGTTCTCTCAAAAAGTCAATTTCTATTTTCTGCACTCTTTGCTCCGTATCTTCGAAACGGCTGGACCTGCCTTTGCCAAAAACTAATCAGCTCTTTTCCCTATCGATAGAAATCGAATGTTTTTTGAACCATTCAAATCGGTTGATCCGTTCGCCCGGAAACGCGACTGGAAATTTGTATCCATAGATACATACACACACACACACACACACATCCATTTTTTCTGAGGTATGCCAAAATGTTCAGAAACCTTCAAGACGTCGAGAAATGTAAAAATTTTCAATTCCGATTTTCGGACCATTACAATAACTTACCCTACGGGAAGTTAAAAATAAATGTTCACTCAAAATTTTATTCTAATTTTTACAGAATAATTTACTGAAAGTTATAACTCAAATACTCATCAATAGAGTAAAAAACTTGCTCTTTAAAAAATGTGTTGAGTAATTTATAAAATTTCCTATTTCCAACTTCTCTAATACCTAGTGGCAGCTTGTTGTAAAGCATTATGCCCAGACCATCTAAAGTATTAAGGGGGTATTCTACTGTAGAAGCATGAATTTTGCCCGGTTTTTGAAGCGCTGTATAAAAGAAACAAATAATATTTTTGCTATCGATTTTTTTATCATTTGTTTATTGATATTTTATTATTACATAAAAAAAATTATTAAAAAAAAAAAATTTGAATTCACAAAGTTATGAGCAGTCAAAGTGGGGGCTCAAAAAAAGAGGGTGTCCTTAATTATTATATATATTATTGTTATAGTTGCCGCTATCATATGAACCTTGGATAAGTTAAAAAAAAAAATTGTTTGAATGGCGGCAGTTTGAAAAAATTTTTTTTTTCATATTTTTTTTAACATATCCAATTCTTTTAAAAATACTAAATGAAAAGTTATAGTTTTAGGAAAGGTCCATGCGATAAAGCGATGTATAGAGAAGATCCTCTCCAAATTTGAAGTAAATCAGTTAATTAGAACTCGAGATATCCTTACCGCCAGCTCGAAAAAAGTAGTTCCGAGAAAAACGCGTTCAAAGTTTTGAGACTCGATCGGACCCGAACCGAGGCCACGTCACTAAAACGTATATAACTCAGGAAATAATAGTAATTTTGAAAAATCCTTTTAATGACATATTTTTGAATAACTAAACTTTGAAAATATGAAAAAAAAATTTTTCGATTTTTTCAAAATTCTACAGTAGAATACCCCCTTAAATGAGGAGGCCAGTTTCAATGTGGGACCTTTTACAAGTTTATGTCTTGTGTCATAATAAATACATTTGGGATTTGGGTTTATTAAACAGGTTACCATTATTTTTTATAAAACAGAGAGTGATTAGGAGAAAAATGCATGGAACGGGTAGAATCTTGTGCTCATGGAGAAAAGGTCGAAAAGGTGGCCCTAGAACAGATCCTTGTGGAACCCCCATCTTTAAATTCATATTGTTAGAAACAAATGTTATCCCGTTTCGATTTAAATGAACACATTGTGATCTGTCATTAAGATACGACTTGACCAAGCAATTTTCCTTTCCCCTGATACCATATCGTTCTAATTTATTAAGCAAAATTTCGTAAGAAAAAGAGAACTGTGAATTTCATCAAAACCTGAGCTAAAATTACCTTTTAGTCTAAGAAATGCTTCTGAAATTTCATCTAGAGTTACCGGAAAAAGATAAATAGTGTCAGACGATCCCGTAAAAACTAGAGAAGGTGCACAAATGACGCGATTGTTATTTACATTTGTAAGTACTGACGTAATAATAGTTGCTTCGTTTATGAAAAATTATTAAACTCGTTAACTATTGTTTGGGGGGTTCATAAATCTTTACATCATTAATAGTAAGAAAATCAATTTGTTGATCATGCTTGCCAATATAGATTTCAGATTTAATCAGTGACCATATAGTTTTTGGTTTGTTGCCAGAACATTTTATCAAACTATCATTGTATTTTGGCTAAATCAACTACGCTATTAAAAATATCTTTATATTTTAAAAAATATTCAATAAAACAGGTATCACAATTATATTTAGATAGTATTTCAAGCAGTTTCAATTTTTTAAAAGAAATTAAGATGCCTTTTGTTTGCCATAAACATCGATTAACTACACTGTTATTATTACATGATGACTTTATATATGGAAATGCAATATTACATTTATTATAAAAAATAGATATAAAGTTGTTAAAACTTGAACTAAACTATATTTAAACTATATTTTTAACTTCCCAAAGGAGAAGTTTATGTTTTCATCAAAAAATCCGAATCGCTAATTTTATGTTTTCTCGACGTTTCGAGCCATTCTGAATCGAATGAGACCAAATTTGGAAAAAGTATGTGTGAGTGTGTGTGTGTGTATGTGTGTGTGTGTGTGTGTGTACAGATTTTTTGCCGTAAATCGGCGTTTTCTCCAAAACGGCTGGACCGATTTCAAAAATTTAAAAGCCATTCGATGTATCTCGATGAGGACTATCTGAGTTTTGTGCGGCGATCGGCCGGGCCGTTTCTTTGCAAATTGCAGAAAAGTGAAAATTTTTTCGTCCACGATTTAGCCCGCAATTCTGAATCGATTCTGAAAATTCAAAAACCGTTCGATAGATATTGGTTGGGAATCGTGCTGATTAGTTTTTGGTAAAGATCGGCCGGGTCGTTTTCTTGTAATAAAGTTTAAAAAAAAAAAATTCGACGATTTTTATGATTATTTTTTTGACGATAGATACCATAGTTTTCTAGATCATACTAAAATATTACGGCCCTACGACAACTGGTTCAGCTTTAAAAATTCGTCAAAGTTTGCAAAAATCAGTATGGTCTTTTTGGCATTTGTCAAAATTAGACTTTTGATCGACGTTTTCTCAAAAATGCCTGAACCGATTTTGGAAATTTAAAAGCCATTTGATGTATTTCGGTGAGGACTATCGTTTGTCAGTTTTGTGCAACGATCTGCCAAGCCGTTTCTTTGTAATTTGAAAAAAAGTGTTAAACTTTTCGTCCACATTTAAGCTCATCCTACCGAACCGATTTTAAAAAATCAAAAACTCTTCGAAAGATATTAGTTGGGAATGATATTGATTAGTTTTAGGTGAAAATCTACCGAGCCGTTTTCTTGTAATTAACTGTTGAAAAAAAATTTAAGCCGATTTTCATGGAACTTTTTTTGGTGATATACATCATGGTCTTATAGAACTTACTGCAATATTACGCCCTTACGACAAGTAGTTTAATTTTAAAAATTCGTCAAACTTTGCTAAAATTATTATCGTTTTTTTAAAGTAGGATTGATGAAGTATATTATTTACACATTTTTTTTTGATTAAGTCGATTATTTACACATATCGGGAAGTTCATGTAACTTGCCTCAAGGCTAAATACCAAACCAACTAGTTTAAGAATATATTGTCGATTCCTGAATTTTCAACTATTTACCTCAACACTCAGATCATGAAGGCCTTCCACGCTCACTTTAGAGACCAGGCCCAAGTCTCCTGGTTTGACTTCGTCATAAGCTTGACAACTCCTGACCAGCATTCCTCGATGAATCAACTCTTGTACATATAGTGCATATTCATCGGCGGAGAGGAAATGAGAACGCTTACTGTATTTTCTAAAAAAAAGGTAAATTTGTCTTAGTACTTAAGATCGATTTAAATTTAAGGTTTTGTTTGTGACTACCTATTGGTTCCCATGACACTTGATGAAGCTTCAGAAAAACCATCAGGAATAAGACTGGAACCTGAGGTTGACGGCTGGACGTTGGACAAATTCATTGATGCAGATGCCTATGATAAGGAAATATATATTTATTACTAGCTGACCCGGCAAACGCTGTTTTGCTAAGTAAGGTATATTCTAAACAATTTCTAGAGAATCAAAAATATCAATACTTTAAGTGTATAAGGATGTGTTGTTTGAATGATATGCTATATACAATGAAGTATTATAAAAACAATAAACCTCATTAGTTTGTCTATATTTTGTCGATACAATCAAACTGGAAGCTTTATACACTTTCTATAGAAAACATGGTATAATCCAAACCAAGTCTTTTTTGGTCTTTCGACTTATTGATTACGTTTCAAGTTTTTCAGATTATTTTTCGATTCTGGATTTTGTGTATAATTGTAAATAATACTACTGAGCTTATACAAAAAATCAAATTTCTGCGAGGAGAGATAGAAAATGAATTAAGTGTTTCTTCTTTGACCTGCTTTTTGTAAAGTTTCAAGTAACATTCCATGAATTATAATAAATTTAATAAAAATTATACATGTAGCGCAGGGCGAGGCACAAAGGTCCAATTTGACTTTGAGCAAATATTAATTACATTATAATAATCAAAACAATTATATCACAACAAATAAAACATTTCAACCAAACAATTATCTGACTACGTTCAGTAAAACTGCCAGCTACTTCATAATTGTATGCGCTTTTTTATGTCTTTCAAAAATTGTTATCTAGACCTTTTTACCCCATAGACGGGGTAACTTGAAACGGCCAGGTGGCAAACAGGTTTAATATCTTATTTTAATTTTAAAGGTATTTTACAAAATAATTACATTTTTAACTAATGCTAAAAAACTACCAACGGAAGAAAATACTTTTATTATGGATTTTCAAAGACTATCGTTTATCTCCCGACAGCAAAGTCATAAGAATCAAGGTTATAGCTGGTTATACATCTTTTTCCCTCTACTTTCAAATATTGTTGTAAAACAATGCTTAACTTTAATGGTTTTTGACATGTTGGTGGTGAACCTTTTAAACCCCGGACCTTCATATATTACTATCTATTTTTCGATAAATTCTGAGAAATGATAACTGGGAAAATGTTATTCGACAAAATGTCCCTTTGATCGATACCAAATTTAGGTTCTGAATTTAAATAACATAAATAAAAAATAATATAACCTAGAAAATGTTTTATAAATACCAATGAGTATGTAATTATACAAATAAGATCTTTCAAAGCACCGTGTTTGAGAAAAATATGATTTGCAAAAAAAGAATGCAACAACGCCAAAAAGTGCATTTTCATATTAATATTTTAAAAAAGCTGATATTTTGAGTTTCTAGTAGCACTTGCGTCCGGTTTACTACGTTTTTATATATAAATAAAACTACAAACAAAACTTCTTACTACAATTTAATCATAATTAAATAATATTCACGTAAAACATCCTATTAAAGGTAATTGAACAGTCTAAAAGTCATTGAGTTCAATAAAAATGTAGAATAAACATTTTGCATAATTATTTTCTATATAGTTATATAATAAATTAGTTCCGACCATTATTCAATTTTTTAATACAGAAAAGCAAAACATAGAACTTCATTTTTAACTATATACTTGTGAAGAAATTTTCAAGAATTATTTAAATTTCAAATACAAATTAAATTATTTTAGAAACTTATTCGTTCAGAAAAATAAATTGTCATTTTGCAAATTTTCAAACAAAATTTCATATAAAATTTGATTATTATTTAGTAACAGTCATTGAACTATAAAAATGTTTCATAAAATTATGAAAATTCACATAAAATATTCTTATCATTCTCAGATTTTGATTTTGGTTTCATATGATGATGATAATTTAAAATCATCGTCAAAATTCTGAAACATTGCCATAAAGGAAACAAAATTTCTAAAATAAATACTAGACGATATTTAATAAAATGTTATACAGAAAAAAATCATTTTAGTAGGTATTTTTATTTGTTAATCAAAGGTCAAATGAATGAATGAATTTGATTATTATTTAGTAGCAGTCATTGAACTATAAAAATGTTTCATAAAATTAAGAAAATTCACATAAAATATTCTTATCATTCTCAGATTTTGATTTTGGTTGCATATGATGATATAATTTAAAATCATCGTCAACATTTTGAAACATTGCCATAAAGTAAACAAAATTTCAATACGAGACGATATTTAATAAAATGTTATACAGAAAAAAATCATTTTAGCAGGTATTTTTATTTGTTAATCAAAGATCAAATGAATTTCCTTGTTCTTAAAATGGCCGAATTTTAAATATTTATAAAAAATGAAACATCAATAATACATCATCTGTCAGAAACGTTTGACATTTGACGTATTAGCCACCGTTCATTGTTTTATTTAAATTACAAAAATGTTCGAATTAAAAATGTAAAGTTTGTACGCGATTTTGAAATAATATCTCACCTTACGGACAACCTACAGATTAGCACGAATTTTTCAAGACTAAGACTGGCCAAATCGGTTTAGCCGTTTTCGAGTTTTAGCGGATCATTTTATCGAGAGCTCCATTTTTATATTAGGTTGTCAAATATCTCCCTTCCGCTTTTTTGCATTGCATTGCATACAAAAAGGCGGAAGGGAGATATTTGACAACTTAATATATAAGATTATTGTCAACCATGAAATTAATATGGCACACTATAACGGTTCACACAAAGTCAAGAAAGCAAAATTAATAAACAGCATACAGAGTTATATATTTTTTAATCTATTCACCTGCACAGAACTGACACTGGTGTCTTCCTGGTCGCTATCATCATGACCGTCGTCATGATCATTGTCTTCTGCTGGCTTTCCTGCACCTTGATGACTATCATTTGATGTAAATCTATCGAGAAACTGAAATAAGTTATCTTGAACGGCTGGACCTCTATTTTCGATTGCAAGACTTCGATCCTCAATAGCTACAACCCTATCTTCGTTGGTTGGAATTTTATCCAAAATGTACTGCAGCACGTCGTCAATTGTTAATTTAGATTCTTTCTCTAAAAGAAAATATTGGAAAGTTGAGATACAATATTTAGTGCAGTAAACGGAGCGTTTTAGATCTGAATTTTTTTACTGTGCTCCGAATTGAATGAAATTTTGGAATTAGGTTCATCTTACCCTCAAGTTCAAAAGTGAAAACAATTCGGGTTGCGCCATCACCCCCCGGGGGGATGACACCCCCTCTCAATTGTGTAATTACATTTTTCCAAATTAACGTCGGAAATCGATAGAGGAACTAATTATAAGAAAAAAATGTCTTTTATAGTTTTTCAAAAAAACTAATACTTTTCAAGTTACTGGCCACTAAAGATTCATATATTTTTGGCGTTTTTCTTCGTTTTTTGTAAATATCTCCTAAAATATACATTTTAACAAAAATCATGTAATGAACAAAATAATGTCAATAAAAATCTTAATAAATCGGTATTACATAAAGTGTTTTAGGAAAAATATTAAGCAAGATTTGAAAGAGCAAAGTCGTTTTTTATTTCGTTCAAGATTTAATTGTTGTATTTAAAGCCATCTAGTGTCGAGGTTTTACATTTTATGCATTTCGGTGAAACTGGGTTTTATAGTGCTCAATATAAGCTTTAAAATGAGTGCTGTTACAAGTTTTTTGCGTGTAAAATGAGTGAGCTATCGTGCAAATAAGAAGCATATACGAAGTTTTTTTTCTTTTAAATCATGTGGTTTAATGAGCACCATTTCCACCAGAATTAAAGTATTTCACATTTCATTTAGAATTCACTTCATTATAGACATCTTGATGGATTCTATCAGATTCACTACTTTAGTACAAACTATTTTCAGAAAACACACGATTTTATAAAAACTTTTTTTTCTAATTTGCGCGGCCGCGCAGTCTTTAAACATTCATAACTCTGTCAATTTTTGTATGAAAGAAAAATAATAAAAAACAATAATAAGCCAGAAAGATCCCTTTGATTTTGGTCTATATGCTTTTATACGTATCCTTTATTCTTTTCGAGATATAATGAAAATAAATTCGATTTTTAAAAATATTGGAAAAAAAAGTTTTTATAAAATCGTGTGTTTTCTGAAAATAGTTTGTACTAAAGTAGTGAATCTGCTAGAATCCATCAAGATGTCTATAATGAACTAACGCGAATTGTTTTCAACTTTTGAACTTGAGGGTAAGATGAACCTAATTCCAAAATTTCATTCAATTCGGAGCACAGTAAAAAAATTCAGAGGTTATACCCTTTTTTCCTCTCCATTTACTGCACTAATTATGTTTCATTTATAATTTCTATTATTATTTACCCAAAGCACTCATAGCAATATCGATCCTCTCCCTCTCGAATCCCATCTCGATCAGCCTCTGCACCAATTCAAAGTTTCTCTCCCTCTCAGTGCCATCTCTATCTTTTTCCTCTTTGCTGGCTGCTGCTGCTGCTGCAGCTGGTTCCTGGTGCTGCTGCGACGTTCTGCTGCCCCTGCTGCTCCTACGTTGTTGCTGTTGAGAATTTCTGCGCCGTCCATTGAGCGATGCTGCTGCGACGGAGGCGGCGCTTACTGCTTGCTGATTTCTCTTAGCTGGGTAAAGGATAATGATAACAGGTTATATATGCATATCTTATATATATATATATATATATATATATATATCTTATATATAAAATTCTTCTGTAATGGGGTTTGAATGATTAATCCTCCTAAACTATAATGCGGATTTTTATGAATCTTCCTGAAGTTTGTTCGGGAAATTTTCTAGAATTTTTAGATTCATAGAAATATAGTTAGATTGTAGAAATAAATGGAAAAAATTACAAAAAGCCGCTTATCATTGTTTGTCCTTGAAAATATTTGAATCTTAGTTTGACATTAAAAACAAATGAAGACTGTCATTTACCAAACATTTCCATTCACTTAAGACAATAACAAAATATAATAAATTCATGATTATAAATAAGAAAAATGTAATGTCTACATTATTATTGCCAAAAAGCAGCTGAGATGTTCCAAAAATTAAAATAATATAATAAGATAGAGTCAACATGCGTCTGACATAAGATGCAGTCTGCGCATGCGTCTGTCAGTGATCGCACTTCAAACTTAGCCTATAATTCACTTTGACTGATTATTATTTTTTAACTTCTAAATGCTGTCGTGTTTTGCCTTACTTTACCAAATCACGATACAAAAATAATTTACTTATTCAAACAATTATTTAGAAGTTTCATTGTGTCAAAAATTCATATGTTTGGCATTGGACACGAAATATTTACTCAAGACAATGGAGCATTTTGGGTCATAAGGTTCATCTTACTCTCAAGTTTAAAAGTAAAAATAATTTAGAATCATTTGCCACTTCCCGGGGGGATGACATCCCTTTTCAGTGGTGCAATTGTATATCTTTCAAACTAACGTCGGATTATCGATAAAAGAACTAATTAGAAGAGAAAAATGTTTAATAATGTTTTTCAAAAAAGAAATTACTTTTCAAGTTACTGGCTACTGAAAAATTGTTGTTTTTGCGTTTTTATCTTTTTTTGCAAATATTTCTAAAAATATACATTTAAACGAAAATCATGTAATGAACAAAATTATATCAATTAAAATCCTAAAAAATCGGTGTTCTATAAATTGTTCTAGAAACAATATTAGGCTATACATGAAAATGGGTTTTATAGTATTCAAAATAAGCTTTAAAATGAGTAGTCTGCGTATAAAATGTGTAAGCTATCATGCAGAAAAAAGACGCATACAATGTTTTTTTTTTCATTTAATTCAAATAGTTTATGAGTGCCATTTCCACCAAAATTAAAAATAATCGTATTCCATTAGAATTGACTTGGTTTAAGAGATCTTGATGGATTCTAGAAAATACCACAACTTTAGTACAAACGATTTTCAAAAAAAACTCATGATTTCATGAAAAAAAAAATTCATTAAAAAAACAACCAATTTCTCATTATTATATCTCTGAAATTCAAGATCTTTTTCTGACCAATTATTGCTTTTTATTATTTTTTGTAACACAAATAGTGATAGAGTTATGAGGTCTTTCGAGCCCTTTAACCCTTCGCCGTTTCAAAATAAGAGAAGTTATGGTAAAATTTATAATAGAGAAAGTTATAGGTCATTTAATTATCTTTAAAATAGTATATTACAAGTTCTGATAAAATCAGAATTAATAAAGTTATAATACAATTAATGCGAGGGGTGGTGAAGGAGTACAAATTGTTTTCACTGCTGAACTTAAGTTAAAGATTAGCCTATTTCCAAAATATCATGCAAATTGGAGCATAGTAAAAAAAATTTGCAGAGCACATGCTTTTTTCTTCTCTATTTCTGTAATAATTTTGTTTGTCGTGACAAATTTGACAAATTAATTCACTTCAAATATGAACATAAATGATAATGTATATTGAATTATTAGTGAGAAAAATATAATTTAGAAATCAAAATTACTAAAAGTCAGTTGAAATATGGTACAAAATTATAAAAATTATAGGCAACATTTTTGAAGCAATTTTTTTGGGTAGAAAAATCCAAAGTGATATTGTACCTTTACCGGGAATGCTATATATTAATTCTTTCTGAATTTGTTATACCTTTTAAAAGACTTCAATTTTCAACACGTGTGTCTTATGCTATGACCATAAATCACAAAGGCAGACGATGATTTTTTGTGTGATAAATTTGGAAAATCAATGTTTTAGCCGTGAATAAACAAAAACTCATTCATTTATACATCCACATCTACAGCTATGACTAAAAATATTGCAATAAAATAAATTGAGCTATTGGAAATAAATTTGTTCTATAAATCGCAGTGTATAATTTTCAATATACAATTTTATTGAACATATTTTAATATTTGTTAAAGGGATAATTAAAGTGTTAACTGTGGGAATTGAGAATAATCATTTTATTTGAAACAGTTCTACATTCAACATCACTCATATATTGGTGTAAATAGTAACTCGAAAAACAATAATGATTATTTTTAACTGAACGGTATAAATATTAGTATAGGATGTTAGAAAAACGTAGATGTGGGTACAGGTTGTTAACATTTAGATAGTCCGCAATTCAATTAAAAGTTTCGTGTATTTATTACGACTGACCTGTAAACGGTGATCGTTGATTGGCAGACATCGATCCAGCACCAGATTGAGAGCAGTCAAGTCCAGGCGGAATATTCTCTCCCCGAGTTGCCAATTCTGAAGCAAGTCTTTGCGAGACTGCCAAAGCGGCCTGTTTCATCTGCTCCAAAGAAAAATCGTTTTTCAAGGGCGAGGAAGCAACAGCAGTAGCCAGCATTCTTTGCAGCAGAGTATGTTTGCAAATTTGACGACCTTCTTCTTTCTTTCTGCGTTTTTTGGTACTGTAACCACCGCCACCGCTGCGTGGTGTGCCTACTGATTCCTGCTCCGTGTTCTGCGAGCGGGATTGCTGAGATTCATCATCACTGTTACTGAAAAATAGAAATTGTAAGCAACATTTGGCTCGATTATATCTTATATATAAAATTCTTCTGTAATGTTGTATGTAAATGCACTCCTCCTAAACCATTATTCGGATTTTGATAAATCTTTCTGAAGTTTGTTAAGGGATTTTTTTAGGATGTATGTGATTATAAAAATATAGTAATATTGTAGAAATAAATGAAAAAAATTGCAAAAAACGACATGTCATTGTTTGACATTAAAAATATTGAGACATTGTTTGGCATTGAAAACAAATGAAAACTGTCATCTGCCAAAAATTTCAACTTACTTATGAGCCAACAATATTAGAATATGTACAATAAATTCATGATTATGAATAAGAAACATGCAATGTCTACATTATTATTGCCAATAAAGCAGCTAAGATGTGCCAGAAATTAAAATAATATAAAAAACAGTATGTGATGGCAGATTAAATGATACCCATGCGAACAGGATTTGACAAATTAATTCAGTTAAAATATGATATTAAGTAATAATCAGGGCCGGTCCTATGCCGTTTAAAAGACTTCAATTTCCAATATAGTGTGGAAATTGATACTCATCATTTTATTTAAAGCAATTCTACATTCAACATCGCTCATATTGATGTATATGCATTTTGGGGTAAAGAGTAATTTAACTAGTTTTAATGGTATTTTGCCTTGAGGCAAGTTACATGAACTTCCCGATATGTGTTAATTATCGTCTTAATCAATAAAAAACTAATTAATTTATGAGTGATTATAAGTATTCCGAGTGGATTTATTACACATCATTGAAAACGAATGAACGCGCCAAATCGGAGTATTTTCTAAAAGCAAATTTTCAAAAATCATTAATTTTTATAGTTGAACCAGTTTCCGTAGAACTTTGATGATTTATTATGTTCATTAAGACCAAGTACTCTATCGTTATACGAAGTAAATCGTCTAATTTTAATTTTAACGTCAAAAAAACTACTCATTTTCTCAAACTTTGATGAATTTTTAAAATAAACTACTTGTCGTAAGGCCGTAATATTTCAGTAAGTTCTATGAGACCATGATAGATCGCCAAAAAGGTTTCATAAAAATCGGCATAATTTTTTTTTCAACAGTTAATTACAAGAAAACGCTGGATAGATTTTTACCTGAAACTAATCAGTATCATTCCCAATTAATATCTTTCGAACTGTTTTGATTTTTTAAAATCAATTCGGTAGTATGAGCTTAAATGTGAACGAAAAGTTCAACATTTTTTTCAAATTACAAAGAAACGGCTCGGCAGATCGTCGCACAAAACTGACAAACGATAGTCGTCATTGAGATACATGAAATGGTTTGTAAATTTCTGTAAAATTAAAATGATACTAATTTTTTAATTTCTGTAAAATTAAAATGATACTAATTTTTGCAAACTTTGACGAATTTTTAAAGTTAAACGAGTTGTCGTAGGGGCGTAATATTTTAGTATGATCTATAAGACTATGGTATCTACCGTCAAAAAAATAATCAAAAAAATCGTCTAAAAATTTTTTTTAACACTTTATTACAAGAAAACGGCCCGGCCGATCTCTACCAAAAACTAATCAGCACGATTCCCAATCAATATCTTTTTGAATTTTCAAAATCGATTTAGAATTGCGGGCTAAAACGTAGACGAAAAATTTTTCACTGTTCTGCGATTTACAAAAAAACGGCTTGTCTGATCCTAGGGCAAAACTGACAAACGATGGCCCTCATCGAGATACATCGAATGGCTTTTAAATTTTTGAAAACGGTCCAGCCGTTTTTGAGAAAACTTTGATTTACAGCAAAAAATCTGTTCACATACACATACACATACACATACACACACACATACATACTTTTTCATAATTATAGGATATTAAAAAATTGTAAACGTGGGTACAGGACAACGTCTGTCGGGTCATCTAGTATGAAAATACAAATTTAATTTATCTCACCCGTCTTCACTTCCGCTACCCGACACACTCCCATCGTCCAGTTCCGCCTCCGCAGCAGCAGACTCACACCTATCACACCTCTCCTCTCGTTCTGCACTAAATTCCATATCAAAACCTGCTGCACTCACTCTATCCTCTCCTGCTTCGGCAATAAATATGTCTTCGGTATCATTCGGAGCAGCGCTGTGGCTGAACTGAAGCAGATGCATACGTAGAAGAACTCTTCGCAGTAGCTGCTGATGCTGCAGCAGGGAGCAGCAGGCGTTTATTGAACAGAGACGTAGCTGCTGGGAACGGAGCTTGTGGGCATCTATTGTACCGACTAGATGGAAAAATAAACAAAAAATTAAAAAACATTGTTTCAACCATTTTTATTGAAGTAAAACTTCTTTAGGCGCGACACGGGTTAGCAGTATAATTCGTGAGTTAATAAAAATGTCAGGATCGGAAGAATATTTTATCCCGTCCCCCATAAATAATTGTAGTGCAAATGTTTGCAAATAAATAATGAAACTAAGGAAAAATGTGCGCTGCGTAAGAGATGATAGCTTTGGCTATGTATGTTTTGTGTGTGATCGACTTTGGCTTCAAAGTGACTTAGAAATATCAAATGATGCTCAAAAACAAATTCTTAATAATGTTTTTTGAATATTGATTTAAATAATCAGGTTGGATGTCAAACTTGTCGAAAGATATTAAATTCGGGTAAAATTCCCACTTTGTGTAAGTTTAACGGGTTTGTATTTCCACCTATACCAAATTATCTACCTAAACTAGATACTGTATCTAAAAGATTAATTTCACACCTAAGTTGTGTTTCATGCAAATTAGACGATTGCGACATGCAAATGGACAATTTGGAATGTTTGGCCAAATTATAAATGTGCCTGTTGACAATAATAATATGGTTAATTTATTAAATCGTGATATTGATGATGATCATTGCATTAACGTTCACATAAAAAAGCAAATAATTCATAGATCAAGCTACGTGCAGGGCTTGATAAATAAAACAAATATAAAAGTATGGCTTCAATTTGTTAGGCAAGACGGATATTACAGCTGTTCAAGGAATGATATTATATCGTCAGCGAAAAAGTAAAAAAATACAAACAGTAAATGAATGTATGTTAATTTTAATTACATGAAATTCTTCAAACACAATTGTTACAGGATGAGTTAATTTGCAAAAACAATATTTGTTTAGGCGTTGTTTAACATAATCCACTGTGTGAATGAATATTATAGAATTTATTAATCAGCAATTACTTTAAAACGATCATGTCATATTTCAAGTACGACTTTGATTACATTATTGTTTGTAAATATTATACATATTTTTAATGCAATCATAAATATATAATTTATAATTTATCATAATATAAATGTGTATAATGGTTGACAATGACACTAATAAATGTGTGCATCACGAGTGTTACCATATTACTAATAAACATTATTCAAAATTGTTATATGATGTATTTATTTTAAACTTAAATGCCATCTTGTACAGTAGCAAATAAGTTTTACTTCAATCGCGTGTGATCCTTACGCGCACTCTTTTTAAGTTTTGTTTAGGTAATTATTACTTACCTCTCGGTGTGTAAGCTTGTCCATGTCTGCTCCAATTAGACTTTTGCTGTTGCAACAGCAATTTTGTCCAAGCCGATAATGCTAGTTCGTCAGCAGGTAAACGATGAAGAAATATTTGCTCCAGGGCAGGTCTTGCTGATTGCAATGGTACCTGACATAAAATAAAATATATAATGCATCAGATAAATATTTGTTTAAGGGGGTATTCTAGATGGATTTTTTTATTTCATATTTTCAAAGTTTAACTATCTAAGAATATGGTTTTTGAAAATTTGAATTATTTTCGGAGATATATGCATTTTACTGACTCGGTCTCCAAGGGACTAATCGGACAAAAGGCATTGGGAAGTCATTAGACCAATTTAAGACAGTTTATCGTCAGATGAATTATTAATTCGATGTATAGGTTCAGAAACTCAGAACAATAATGAATTTCTCGTTGATTTGGATTTTCCTGCCGAAACATAGTCATTTCCGATCTCGGGTAATTGAAATAGCAACATTTATTGCTGTTTGCACATTCAATAAAGGTTTCTTTCCGATTTTAAAAATGATGATCCTTATGGTAATGCAAATTGGATCAGAAACTCATTCATTTGTTGTAAGACGAGACAATGCCCGGATTAAACGATCTGTAATACGTACATCCAACGCTTCAAAAAAGGCTAAAACTGCTTGATTGGAAAAGAGAAACGCAGAAAATAATTTTTTGAAGTAGAAGAAGGTTCGACGTAGAGTTTGTCGGTTTTCAAAAACCGGTTTTGAAAACCGGTTTTTTGACGAAAATTATGAAATTCAAAAACCGTTTTTTAGCAGAAAAATCGGTTTTTACTGTATACTTAAATGGAAAATGAGAAATATACTAGAAGGAAGCAAGCGTTTTGACACTTGGAATCATATCGGTTCGATAAAATTTGGACTCATATCAGTCTGTTATAGTTCCAAGAAAGATTCCGTGTTAATATCTGTCTAATGTATATATTAATTTAGATTATTTTATCAATGTATATATTAATTTAGATCAATGCGACTTCTTGTTGAAGGAGTGAATTGCTCTACTCAAATTTAAAAAAAGAGTTTTTACCTCTAGAAGCCACAAATAAAAATACAAAATTTCCAGAATTATTATATCACACTTTAGTTCGGTTGCAAGTGAGAGAGTATTTTCTATTTCGGAAAATTTTGTGACTAAACAAAGGACACTTCTAAATAACAAATCTATAGGTGTGCTCTGCTTTTAGCAATCATATTTCATTAAACTAAAAAATAATTAAATACTTGAAATTGATTAATTGAAATTGTTTGGAATATAATAAACTCGGGGTTTTGTTTAATTGTTTTTAGAACTAAAAATTGATATTAACAATTATGTATCAATATGTATTTAATTTTTTTTATTTAATTAAAAGTTAAAAGATTTTTTATTTAAAAATGAAATATTTTCATTTATTTGAACTCTTTTCTTTCACTATCATAACAATATTTATAATCTATAGTGAAAATGATGCATGAATAACGAATAATCATTTTCAAAGTCATTTAATCCACATCAACTATTATTTCTTTGTTCTACTAATTAAAATTAAAATAATTTTGTTCACTATTCATAAAATTGAACATTAAATAAATTCTGTCAAATACTGCTTTAAATCACACTAAATTCGCCGATATTTTTTTTTGTTATTACAGAATATTCGAGCAAAATTGATTTTTTATATAATATTTGAAAACCGGTTAAAATCGGTTTTCTGGAAAATTTACAATTCGAAAACCTGTTTTCTGAAATGTCGGTTTTTGTATAAACCCTAGTCCGATGCATGAAGCAATAATGGCAGATTAAACATATCATTTTATGACTTTGACAGCAAAAAACTTCACGCAAAACTTTAAATGCGTTTATCTCAGAACAAACTTTTTCAGTACTGTTGACACGATTTTTCGAGTTCTACTCGACCGATTCACTTGAAATGTCGAGAGAGTCTTGCATATAGACTTATCTGTAGCCCGAACTAGCATCATCCCCAAATTCCAATTTTTACTGTTTTTAAAACAATCGAGAAATTCAAAAAACAGTGAAAAAAGACACTTTTTTATTCAAACAGTCGCCAATTTGTAAAAAAAATATTTTTTTTACTCATCGCTAGTTCGCGCGATTGCGGCATCATTGTAGATTAATAATCTTTTTATTTCTTTTATTTCGAGGGCTAGGGGGGCTGAAATCATGTCAAGACTGAGGTGCCAATTTTTTGAGACCCCCCACTTCATCAGCTGCCAGTTTCTTCAATTTTCAACTTTTTTTTTTAATTTTTGTATTGTATTTTAATAATATTAATAAACGTGGTAAAAAATGGATAGTAAAAACACTCATTGCTTTCTTTTACGACACTTAAAAATTACCTAAAATTCATCGCTCTACACTAGAGTACCCCCTTAAGTATACATATTTTTCTATAGTACCTTCTTAAGTTCACCAGTGGCATGACACTGTACGACTAGACTTCCTGACCGTTCAGTCATTCTTCTCACTGTTCCAAAAATTCCATCAGATGATACTTGCATACCCACTCGTACTCTGCAAAATTATAATAGATAAAATTAAATTTCTCAAAATTTAATCCTTTGTCTAAAATAGTAAATGATTTATACAAACCTATTATCAACACCACCGATAATACACAAAGTTGCTGCTATAAATGCAGGACTCACTTCTCTTTTCTTGTGTTGCAGCAGGTTCTTCTCTGTCTTCAAGGTAATAATTTGAGCAACCATCTTCAAGGTAACCTAGACATAATTGCAATAGACGATAATATTAAATTAAAACTGGTGGTGGATAGCATCGTGCCTTAAGGCAAATTGCTGGTACTTTCCGTACCGTAATGAAATATTCGAGAAATTTTAAACGTTTTCAAATATATTATTACAAATACTGTAACACTTTCATTATTTTTGCTATCTCGTTATATCTGAGCAAATCAAATGTAAATAATAAATAAATCAATTTATCTCCAGAACATTAACAATCATCATTTCATTTCGAATTCATTTCAAAAAAATAGTTGCCTAATTTGCCGATTGAACACAAAATTGAACTAGCTGTAAGTGGAATTCTGTCTTAAGGCAATTAGGGCATCGTGCCGTAAGGCAAATTGCTGGAACTTCCCGTACCAAAAATTATTATTTTTTTAAAAACAATTAACATTTTTGAAAAAATTTTACTTCGAAAAAAAATAGATTTTTAACAAACTATAAAATTGACAAAAAATTACTTTTTTGTGAAAAAAAAAATTATTTGAAAAAAAAAAATTTAAAACATATTTTGGAAATTTTGAACTTTTTTTCAAAGCATCGCACTGCTTGAACTGCATAGAGACAAAATGTCAAAGCTCGCAAGTGGCCCGCCGCCGTCTAACGCATAAGCATTGGTACGGAACCCATGAAAATGTAAAAAAAAATTATACTTATTGTTAAAATCTCTATAAAATATCTGATAATTTGATGTGCATATGTCTAATAATTATTTTTTACTGCCCAATGGCTTTTTTTTTTACTTTTTTCATTAGATCTCCGGAACCGCTAGACCTGGCTCCATGAAAATTTGATCAATTCTACATCTTGTCAATACAAGTAAAATGTTTTTTGAATTATTCAAATCGGACGCTCCGTTCTCTTAAAAACAAAGGTACCGTTTTTGGCACTTTTTGCCCCGTATCTTCGGAACGGCTAGACCTGCCTTCGCCAAAAACTAATCAGCACGTCTCCTTATTAATACGAATCGAATGTTCTTTGAATTATTCAAATCGGTTGATCCGTGTTGTTGAAATCGTCGACGAAAATTTGTATCCGCACATACATACACACACGTACATATATACATACACACACACACACACATACATCCATTTTTTCTAAGGTATGCCAAAATGTTCAGAAACCTCTGAAACGTAAAGATATATAAAAATTTTCATTTTCGATTTTTTTGCGATTACTATAACTTGCCCTACGGGAAGTTAAAAAGTGCTCCCAGTCTAATAGTCACAGTCTAAACGCATTTGCAAATAATTCTGTGGGACATTTTCACTTATACTGTGCTTAGCTAGGCTAAACTACTCATTTTCTCAAACTTTGATGAATTTTTAAAATTAAACGACTTGTCGTAGGGCCGTAATATTTTAGTATGATCTACAAGACTATGGTATCTACCACCAAGAAAAAAAATCATAAAAATCGCCGATTTTTTTTTAACTTTATTACAAGAAAACAGCCCGGCCGATCTTTACGAAAAACTAATCAGCACGATTCCCAACCAATATCTATCGAACAGTTTTTGAATTTTCAAAATCGATTCAGAATTGTGGGCTAAAACGTGGACGAAAAGTTTTTCACTTTTTTGCTATTTACAAAGAAACGGCCTGGCCGATCGTCGCACAAAACTCAGAAACGCTAGTCCTCATCGAAATACATCAAATGGCTTTTAATTTTTTGAAATCGGTCCAGCCGTTTTGGAGAAAACGTCGATTTACGGCAAAAAATCTGTTCACACACACACATACACACACACATACTTATTCCAAATTTGGTCTCATTGGATTCAGAATGGCTTGAAACGTCGAGAAAGCATAAAATTAGCTAGTCGGATTTTTTGATGAAAACATAAACTTCTCCTTCGGGAAGTTAATTAACTTCTCATTGACAGAAGAAATTGACAAAATTCACAACTTTTACATGTACCAATTAATATATTAGGTTGTCAAATATCTCCCTTCCGCTTTTTTGCTCTTGGTTTATAATACAAAAAGGCGGAAGGGAGATATTTGACAACCTTATATCAGTGGATATTCTTATCTACAAAATTATCATCAATCAAATTCATACAAATTTCAAATCTCTTATTTTCTATTACCTCTCTCATATCTAAATGACTCCTTTATAGTTTGCGCCGCACTAACGAGTCCCTGCAGCAGCAGAGCGTCCATAGTCGTCCTCCAACCTCTAAGAGAATGAAGAGCCCTCAACAAGGATACTGCTTCGGCGCAGGCGCTACTTGTAGCACTAGGAGTCACAGGAACACGAGCCTTTCCGCCTCCAATTGCACCTGCAGACTGCTGTGCACTCGAACTGATTGGCTGGGGACCAGAGGCAGATCCTGCTGCAGACGGAGCAGAAGTTGTGGATGTAGGTGCAGGTTTGGCTTCTGGTGGCGTTGGTAAATTTCTGGCACCTGGGGGGAATGGATTTAGGTGAATGGTTGGTGGTGCCTGAACCAGGAGTTACAATTTATTTATTTGTTTGTTTATTAACTTCCCGAAGGAGAAGTTTATGTTTTCATCAAAAAATCCGATTCGCTAATTTTGTTTCCTCCTGGACGTTTCAAGCCATTCTGAATCGAGTGAGACCAACATTTGAAAAAAGTATCAGTGTGTGTATGTGTGTGTGTGTATGTGAACAGATTTTTTGCCGTAAATCCACGTTTTCTCAAAAACGGCTGGACCGATTCTAACAATTTAAAAGCCATTCGATGTATCTCAATGAGGACTATTGTTTGTCAGTCTTGTGCGACGATCGACAAAGCCGTTTCTTTATAAATCGTAGAAAAAAGAAAATTTTTCGTCTACGTTTTAGCCCGCAATTCCGAATTGATTATGAAAATTCAAAAACCGTTCGAAAGATATTGGTTGGAAATCGTGCAGATTAGTTTCTGGTGAAGATCGGCCGGGCTGTTTTCTTGTAATAAAGTTTTTTTTTTTAAAAAAATCTACGATTTTTATGATTATTTTTTTGACGGTAAATATCTCTAGATCCTACTAAAATATTACGGCTCTACGACAACTCGTTTAGCTTTAAAAATTTGTCAAAGTTTAAAAAAATTAGTATGGTCTTTTTGGCATTTGTCAAAATTAGAACTTTCATCTTCGTTTGCTCAAAAACGCCTGAACCGATTTCAGATATTTAAAAAGCATTTGATGTATCTCGATGAGGATTACCGTTTCTCAGTTTTGCGCGACGATCGGCCGAACAGTTTCTTTGTAATTTGGAAAAAAGTGTTAAACCTTTCGTCCACATTTAAGCTCATACTACCGAACCGATTTTAAAAAATCAAAAACTGTTGGAAAGATATTAGTTGGGAATGATACTGATTAGTTTTAGGTGAAAATCTACCGAGCCGTTTTCTTGTAATTAACTGTTGAAAAAAAAAATTGAAGCCGATTATTATGGAACTTTTTTTCGCGATATATATCATGCTCTTATAGAACTTACTGAATTATTACGACCTTACGACAAGTAGTTTAATTTTTAAAATTCATCAAAGTTTGAGAAAATGAGTAGTTTTTTTGACGTTTGTTAAAAATAAAATTAGATGATTTAGTTGGTATAACGATAGTGTACTTGGTCTTGAACATAGTAAACCATTGAAGTACTACGGAAACTGGTTCAATTATAATTATTGATTAATTAAAATTATTGATTTTTGAAAATTTGCTTTTAGAAAATACTCGAGTTAACGTGTTCTTTCGTTCATTTGCAATGATGTGTAATAAATCCACTCGGAATACTTATGATCACTCATAAATTAATTTATTTTTTATTGATTAAGTCGATTATTTACACATATCGGGAAGTTCATGTAACTTGCTTCAAGGCTAAATACCAATATAACAAACAACATAAATATAAATTACTAGTTGATGTTTTAAAATCGGTTCAGTAGGATGAGCTTAAATGTGGACGAAAAGTTTAGCACTTTTTTTCAAATTACAAAGAAACGGCTTGGCAGATCGTCGCACAAAACTGACAAACGATAGTCCTCATCGAAATACATCAAATGACTTCTAAATTTCTTAAATCGGTTCAGTAGTTGTTGAGAAAACGTCGATGAAAGGTCTAATTTTGACAAATGCCAAAAAAACGATACCAATAATTGCAAACTTTGACGAATTTTTAAAGTTAAACCAATTGTCGTAGGGCCGTAATATTTCAGTATGATCTAGAAGACTATGGTATCTACCATCAAAAAAATAATCATAAAAATCGTCGAATTTTTTTTTTAAACTTTATTACAAGAAAACGGCCCGGCTGATCTTTACCAAAAACTAATCAGCACGATTCCCAGTCAATAATCTTTCGAACGGTTTTTGAATTTTCATAATCGGTTCAGAATTGCGGGCTAAAACGTGGACGAATTTTTTTTCACTTTTCTGCTATTTATAAAGAAACGTCTCGGCCGATCGTTCCAAAAAACTGACAAACGACAGTACTCGTCGAGATACATCGAATGGCTTTTAAATTTTTGAAATCGGCCCAGTCGTTTTCGAGAGAACGTCGATTTACGGCAAAAAATTTGTTCACACACACACAAATACTTTTTCCAAATTTGGTCTCATTCGATTCAGAATGGCTTGAAACGTCGAGAAAACATAAAATTAGCGAATCGGATTTTTTGATGAAAACATAAACTTCTCCTTCGGGAAGTTAATAATAATATAATATTAAACATTTAATAAACTATAAATCACTACTTAAGACGGTCATTTAAGGATAATTTATCTGGCTTGATATTTTATATTTGTCACCGACAGACCAAAGGTACCTCAGAAGCAAATTTATTTATTATTTTTGTATTATATATTAATGTTAATATTTTGTATTACATGTTAATGTTGTACTAATGCTGATTAGATTGATAACTAATGGTGCATGGCATCGTGCTTTAAGGCAAATTGCTGGAACTTCCAGTACTGTAATTAAATGTTCGAGAACTGAAAATAATCAATAATTGGTTCAAATAATTTCAAATAGATTATTCATTATAAATACATACTGTGAATTTATAAGTGCTTATTTAATTAGGCGACGAGCGTATGTATATGTATATTATAAGAAAATTCTTCATTTTTTTAAAAGAATTTTTTTTTTGAGATTTTTTTAAAATCGTGAAATTTGCTTCCAATTTCGAATTTGTGAGGAAAAATTGATTTTTTTAAATGCATGTTTAAAAGAAATTTGTTCATTTTTTTTAATTTCATTTTTTTTGATAATTTTGAATTTTTTTAAATTTCAAATTTCTTTGGAATTTGTAAAAAAATCTTTTTTTTTAAATGTATGTTTACAAGAAATTTATTCGATTTTTTTTAAATTTGATTTTTTTCATTATTTTGATTTTTTTTCAAAATTTAGAATTCTTTTTCCAATTTCGAATTTGTTTGGAATTTGTGTAAAAATTCCAAAATTTAATTCAATTTAAAATTTGGAACTTCCTTCGAATTTGTGGAAAAAATCGTTTTTTTAAAATGTATGTTTACAAGAAATTTGTTAATTTTTTTTTTAATTGATTTTTTTGATAATTTTCAAATTCGTTCAAAACTTAGATTTTTTTTTAATTTCAATTCAATTTAGAATTTGGAATTTATTTCGAATTTGTGAAAAAAATCTTTTTTTTTTAAATGTATGTTTACAAGAAATTTGTTCATTTTTTTAAAATTGTTTTTTTTTTATAATTCTGAAATTTGTTCAAAACTTAGATTTTTTTTAAATTTCAATTCAATTTAAAATTTGGAATTTCTTTCGAATTTGTGGAAAAAATCATTTTTTTTAAATGTATGTTTACAAGAAATTTGTTCATTTTTTTTTAAATTGATTTTTTTGATAATTTTGAAATTTGTTCAAAACTTAGATTTTTTTTTAATTTCAATTCAATTTAAAATTTGGAATTTCTTTCGAATTTGTGGAAAAAATAGTTTTTTTTTAAAAAGTATGTTTACAAGAAATTTGTTCATTTTTTTTAAATTGATTTTTTTTGATAATTTTGAAATTTGTTCAAAACTTAGATTATTTTTTCAATTTCGATTTTGTTTGGAATTCGTGAAAAAATATATATTTTTCAAATGTATATTCACACAAAATTTGTTTTTTTTTTTAAAAAAATATTTTTTTTGGTAATTTTGAAATTTTCTAAAAATGTCAATTTTTTTTTTTAATTCGAATTTGATTCGCATTTGTGAACAAAATCGTTTTTATTTAAATGTATGTTTACGAGAAATTTAGTTGAAAACAATTATCTCTGTTATACCTGTTGAAACCAAAGCTCGAAGCGTGGAATCTCCTTTGCATAGCAAGAAGCAGCTTCCTAATATTTCAAACAGCCTTAAAAGAAACTTCGACATCCTTGATAAATCATGAGCCGGTGACCAGCTGCCAAGACAGTCCCTCCACAAACGCAGACACTGAATCTACAATAACCGAACAACCATTGAAACAAACTGAAATCACCTTATTATTTATTCATATTTACCTTCTTAATCAAAAGCGCTTCTGTGGTGACAATACCATCATCATCAGCCGATAAAACCCTCTCACAAATATTCAACCACGAATCGTGTGTCATCAATCTGCACAACTCATCATCACTGCACATTGCCCGCAAAGAACCAGAATAGAGCAAAACTGCATTTGCACCATTGTTACGATTTTTTTGCTGATTCTGGTTCCACATATCGCTGCAGCAGAAGATCGAAGTGATGCAGTTGTTGGCAACAGACGTTGTCAAAGCTAAAAGAATTAAAAATATATAACCTATGATAATAAAAAAAATATGAATTATGAATTTATTATTACCATTATTTCCTAATGTGTTGGAACTCGTAAGATAATTGGATACTTTTAATGCTTGTCGATGCATAGAAGTGACACTTCTTGCAGCCTGCACAACTCCTTCGCTGGTTGCTCCAGCAGAACGCAGACCACAGCAGACTGTGAATAGACGCAGTAAATTGCTGCAGCAAGCACGAAGAAGCACACCAGGCTGCTGCAGTTGAAATTGGGGATCTAGGAAAAGAGTAATAAAATTAATAGATCAGTAGATAGAGCACATGGGGGGTAAAACATAGAACAAATACGCGTTACACTGTATGAGTGTTTTCAGCATATAATAGATGGTGCTAGTGTGCTTCAAATTCAGCGTTTATTTTAAAATACATTTTCTCTAGTCTAGATATAGTACACGTACTTTAAACGTTCAAGTACCAATTTTATATATTAAAATATATTTTTTGGATGAAAACAAAAATTTTTTTTCATCATATATTTTTACAACATATTTGTGATTTTCTGTGAAATTATATTTTATACTCGTATATTTTGTTCTCATTTCATTTAGTCAAATTAATCAGGAGTATCTTTTCTATATTATAAATTCAAACTAGCTGTAAGTGGAATTCTGTCTTGAGGCAATTATGGCATCGTGCCTTAAGGCAAATTGCTGGAACTTCCCATACCGTAATGAAATGTTCGAGGAATACTGAATGTTTTCAAATAGATTATTATAAATATTGTAACATTGTCTAATATTTATAAGAATTATATAAACTGAATTGCAAAGTTGAAATTATTTGTAAAGTTAGAATTAGAACTATAGTCAGAATTAAAAATAAAATCTGAATTATTTTTAATATACAAAAAATTAAAAAAAAAAAAAAATGAATTTTTTTTTTCCAAAATCAATTATTTTGTTAAGACAAGCAGAAAGTTCTTTGAATCATTAAAATCGGACGCTTAGTTCTCTCAAAAACTGCCATTTTTTAAATATTTGCCGTATCTTCGAAATGGCAGGACCTGCCTTTGCCAAAAACTATTAAACACTTCTCCTAATCATTACTAATTGAATGTTTTTTAGAACATTCAAATCGGATACTCCGTTCTCTCAAAAAGTCGATTTTTATTTTCTGCACTCTTTGCTTCGTATCTCCGAAACGGCTGGACCCGCCTATGCCAAAAACTAATCAGCTCTTTTCCCTATTAATAGGAATCGAATGTTTTTTGAACCATTAAAATGGGTTGATCCGTACGCCCGAAAACGTGGGCGAAAAATTGTATCCATACATACATACATACACACACACACACACACACACACATCCATTTTTTCTGAGGTATGCCAAAACGTTCGGAAACCTTCAAAACGTCGACAAATGTAAAAATATTCAAATCCGATTTTCGGCCCATTACAATAACTTACCCTACGGGAAGTTAATAAATTAATATTTATTTGATCAGGAAATGCTATTTCTTCGAACAACAATTTTTACCAGAATTTGACTGATGACAAAATTAGCCTTTACAGCCGTATTTGATAAAATATCTAGAAAAATAATCTGTTGTTGAGAAATGCTTGACGGGCCGCAGAAAAACATCCGGCGGGCCGCGCGTTGCTCATCCTTGTTTTATATATTATATATTCAAATAAATCTTATCTAGAATCGAACCTAAGGATAAATTTACGTTACAGTTGGTGGCGACATCTATTGAATGGTGAAAGAATTACAATTGATGTAATATCAAAGCGGCCGTGTTTGCCATCTATTTATACTTATTTATCTATGATAGAGCTGTTATAATCTTTATTGAATATACTATTTACCTTTAAGCATTACATCATCCTCTTCCTCAGGTGACAACATATCGTTATTAAAACCAGCACCATTTCCTAAATTAGCATTGTTATCTGCAAGTTTCAAATCATATTTATCTTCTCGTCCCATCCTGTAACTATTGGTGCTCCCGGTGTCCCATTGTACTCGTACCCAACCATCATCACCCAACTCACCGATCACACGACCTTCTCCTGGTGGAGGACCGTCCTGATAAAAAAATGATGATGAAAAAGTGAACTGGTTTAGTTATATAGTTTATATTGTATTTACTGACCTGGTCTCCCCATTTCCAATCAGCGCCCCTGACAATTCTGGTGCCTAGTTTCATCATAGCAGCCAATTCTGGGCCGGTGAGAGCGTTGCCTTTAGAACCAGAAGCGCTACCTGATGGGCAGAAAAGTTGTTATAATAATAATTTAAACTAGTGGTGTATGGCATCGCGTCTTAAGGCAAATTGCTGGAACTTCAGAACCGAAAACTGAATTATTAAAAAAACTTTGCGAAACTTCGAAAAAATTAGATTTATGACGAATTTTGAAATTTTTGCAAAATTTGATTTTTTTTTAAATATTTTGATTTTTTTGTATTTTGATTTTGTAGATGTTCGGAAACCTCTGAAACGTGAAGACATGCAAAAATTTTCAATTTCTATTTTCGGCCCATAACTATATTTATACCCTACGGGAAGTTCAAAAATGCTTGTAGATGTATAACAAAAAAATACTTACAATTTAATAAGGTGTCTTCATAAATAATCACTCTGCTACCTTTGCTCGAGCTGTTGCCTTGTTGTTGAGTATCCTGTAGAAATAAAATAGAATAATTTCTTTAAATATTTCTTTACTTCTACATTTAGCAAGACAGGTATATCTCTAACTATTTATATTGAATATTATTATAAATACTAGGGAATGCAATACCGATGGAAAATTTCAATACCGGTAATTCGGTAATTTTTCATTTTAAAACCGGAATACCGGTAAATTACCGGTAATTTTATTATCTTAAACAAACGTGAACAAAATTGAAAGTTACTAGTACAAATATAAAAAATGTATATATAACTACAACTATATTCAACCAAAACAATAAAAACAATAAATTTATTTTTTTAAATAATAATTTAACAAAATTATATCCAACTATCGAGTATATTGAATACTTTTCACCAAAAACAAACTTATGAGTAAAAAAGACCAAAAACTCATAAAAGATCATATTACAATATTATAATAAACTGTATGCGTTAAATTAGCATAATCACCAATATTTTTAAAAAAATATTTTTCTACAATAATTTAAGATCGGATACTTCGTCGATATAAATAATAAGTTACTATAATTGTTGAGTATTGTTATTTAAAACAATGTGATGCTTCTATAGTATTTTCAAACTTGTTTTCGAAAAATAATATTTTACAATTGTAATAAGAAGCAAACATATTTAGTAATTATCATAATTATTATGTTTAAAGTTAGAAAAAATAAAGATTACGCAGGGGTAATCTGTATGATATAAAATATTTTGATGCAAATATCACTTAAAAAACCGTTACATTTTTATATAAGATGTAAACAAACATCATTATCTATCAGTCTAATTCTATTTATTCTAACACGATATGAAGCCCTTTGGAAAGCAATAAATATTCAATTTAATGACGAGTTGAGATAATATTTGACATTTGTTTATCCTATAGAATCACTTGAAGATATAGCTGTTTATGAGATTATGGAATTTAAAGATAAATTTGTTCCGAGAAATTTAAACTTTTGGGGTATTATGTATCAAAGAGCGCTTATGTAAAAATACCGAAAATACCGGTATTTTTGGGGTGAATACCGGTAAAAATACCGCCGAAAAATCGGGCGGTTTACCGGTAACTCGGTATACCGGTAAACCGGTATTGCTTTCCCTAATAAATACGATTTAAGTAATTTACTAACATGCAATTGGTTTCCTGTGATCTGCCTCAAAAGTGCATGTAGCGATGCTAGAGTGCCACAACTTGCCAAAAGTCCCAGTTCGTTAGCAGCATATTCAGCACTCAGCAGGGCTAAGACACTTAGAAGCATACGAGCTCTTGGTAAGTCCTGAGAAAATTGAAAAACATCCATAAATATAATATTTCTCCTTTACTTAATAAAAATTTATATTAATCAACAAAAATATGCTAAATAAAATAGTTTTTCCTTCACCTTTAACAAAGCATGAGTGACATGATTAGCCTGCTCCTTATCTCTGACACCTTGTACAGATCCTCCGCCTGTACAAGAACCACCAACAGTCATTCCTCCACCGATTATAGAAATTCCCATAGATGCTCCAGTCGAAGCAGTGTTTGCCAGAACTGCTTCACCCCGCAAAACTAACTCTCTCAATCTGAAAGCACTCCATTCTAAAATACTGGCATGAGCTAAACGCAACTTGGTCTTTTGATGGGCTGTGACTCTATCTAAATCCTGGACAGCAGATCTAAAAAATATAAACTATCCTTAGTCACTGCATAATAATAATAATTTTATTATGTTATCTTCTATTTCAAAGGCGAGCAACCTTTTTAACTCGCGGGCCAATTTAAATTTTCATATTTTATGGCGGGCCGCACGTAATTTATATATATACTAGCTGACCCGGCAAACGTTTAGCTACAGAAAATATTTTTAGAAAATCATTAGTATACGAAATGACTAACTAATTCTGAATGTATAAATATCATTACATTGATAATTTACCCACTGCAATGCTAAAATACTAAAATTCATATTATAATTATATTATACTTCGAAAATAATTCCAGTTTTCTTTCAAAAACAGTTTTATCTCCTGATTTTAAAATTAAATTAATAATTTTTTTGCTGAAATAGCTCCTTTTGCGACACATTCAAAAATGTGTCGCATGTAGTTCTTATGCACATCGAGTAATATTTGTACGATAGGATAAGCTTCCAAATTAGTTAGTTTTATCGGAGGTAACCATTTCGTTGCCATTTTTAATATGTTGCAGCGAATAGAGCGGATAAATTTAAGCAGTTTTATAAGCTCAGAAAAATCATGATCGCATTTCAATTAAAAACGTTCATAAGAAATAGTAGTTAATTGATCGATTACCGAGCTATATAAAAAATGATTGGACTGCTATAATGACTATTTTGAAATAATGAAAATTTGGAGTTGTGTGTAGTTTTCCATTTCGCACAAAAAGTAAAATTAAGAAAAAAAATTAAAAAAATTATTACGACCATGATAAAAATAAATTGCTTTTTTAATAAAAATGAAGCCTTTTCATAAACTCTGATAAAAGTCTGATGTAAAATTAAGTCAAAAGATTTACTGATTGAGCACGGGAATAATGTAATTGCAACAAAATTACAAAATTGCCACAAGAAAAGAACAAAATATAAAATTGAGCAAAGCATATATTTTATATAATTACGAGTGTATATTATAAATGTTTATAAATATTAATACAAAATGAAAACAAATAATACTTAAAAGAGAAAGAATTTTACTTAAAAACTTTAATACAAAATTTACCACTGCTTTTTTATATTTGATTTTATGCTTTATTTTAATTTTTTTAATGCGGAAAGTAGCAACGAGTATGCAGGTTTTTTAATCAGTTTTGATAAATGGTAATTTTTTATGAATTTTATAGTTGAAATTAACACAGGTCCACACAAAACAGTAAGAGATGTTTCTTTTACCGCTGAAGATAAATCTATAGTCAAAATTGGGGCACAAAATATTGAAAAACATTTAAAAACTAGCACAATCTTCAATCTAGATTTTTTCTGAAAAAATTAATTATTATCCAGCGACTTTTCTTTTGCGGACCTGTGTAATTGTTCGCGCAGATACGTACTTCCAAAAAAAGAATTTATCATAATTTGATTTGCGTTTTTTTTTTAAAGCGCAAATTTCTCAGGGGTGACATTAGATTTATAAAATAATTCGATGTTTACTGAAAAAATGCATTTTTTATTGCATGTATTATTTGGCATGTTAAATGGCGAAGAAAACATTTACATGAAAACAGCTGTCTTGTTAGCTTTGAACATTTGGAATCACAATTAAAATTTGTTCACATTTTCCTTTTTTGAATATGGAAAGTGAAACACAAGATTCTGCAAAAGATATTATTCTTTATTAGCAAAATGCCTAAAGGACTATAATTATTATTTCATATCCAAAAACAATTGATATTCGCCATTTGAGTCGTATACTCCTTTAAGCATAACATTATTGAGCTAGAGTATTTTAGTATTGAAAATCGACATATTCATGATCTAAATTGCCAGGAAGTTTTTAAATTTACGATGATTTAACCCTCGCGACTTTATAAGATTCACTTTTTTAATTATTTTGAATTTAGAAATGCGTTGTTGCTATGTTCTCGGACAAGTTCTCAACTTTTCTTGCAATATTGAAGCTTGTTAATATTTATATAAATTAATAAATTAATCAATATTTATTATTTTATCAGGAAATGCTCTTGTTTCTTCGAACAACAGTTTTTATCAGAATTTGACTGACGACAAAATTAGCCTTTACAGCCGTATTTGATAAAATATCTATTGTTGAATTGAAAAAATAATCTGTTGTTGAGAAATGCTTGGCGGGCCGCAGAAAAACATCCGGCGGGCCGCATGCGGGTTGCTCATCCTTGTTCTATTTACCTGTTTCTCATCGCTTTGTGGTACTGCAACAGAGTGTATTTCTGTTTCTGTTTTTCAATATTTGATCCTGCAGCAGGAGCTATCAAGCCCAGCAAGCCTCCAAGAAGGGAATACCGCGCTGAAGGCAATAAAGTCTGTTCAGCATGAAGCAGACGTGATGTCATTTCGTAACCAGATAAACGTAGTTGACAACGTTGTGTCTAAAAAAAATAATAAACTAGTTGGTATTGGTATTTTGCCTTGAGGCAAGTTACATGAACTTCCCGATATGTGTAAATAATCGACTTAATCAATAAAATATAAATTAATTTATAAGTGATTAAAAGTATTACGAGTGGATTTATTACACGTAATTGAAATGGAAGGAACACGTTAACTCGGAGTATTTTCTAAAAGCAAATTTTCCAAAATCAATAATTTTTATAATTGAACCAGTTTCCGTAGGACTTTAATGGTTTAGTATGTTCATTAAGACCAAGTACTCTATCGTTATACCAAGTTTTAATAAATTTACAACTTTTATAAAATTTTATAATTTTAAAATTTTATAAAAGCCAACAGTTTTTATGACATTTTTGAATATATTAATTTTGACTTCAAGAAATACACAGGTACCATTCCCTCCATATCATAAATATTTATTGTTACTAATTATGTGTGATATCTTACAAATACAGCAATTTTTGGCTATAACTGAGTATTTCTTAGCTGCGAAATATTTTTCTTCGTCTCTGATACTACTCTTTTTTTCAAAAAAGCTTCTAAACTTTTTAAAAATTTCTACGATTCAATGGATATACAGGACCTCAACTTTTAAAGCTGCTCTAAACGAAGACGTAATATCAAGTTTCATAAAATCAAGATACAAAATTATTTTGTATAAACTTTAAATTTGCATTTTGAAATAAACTTTTCATTTGCATTTTATATATGGGTTGTTTTGTTATTTAATTGTGAAGTTGTGAATTGTATATCTAATATGTACATATGCTAATACATCTAATACATCTAATATTTATAAGAATTATATAAACTGAATTGCAAAGTTGAATTTCAAAAGTAAATCGTCTACTTTTAATTTTAACAAATGTCAAAAAAACTAGTCATTTTCTCAAACTTTGATGAATTTTAAACTACTTGTCGTAAGGCGGTAATATTTTCAAGTTCTATAAGACCATGATATATATCACCAAAAAAAGTTCCATTAAAATCGACTCAAATTTTTTTTCAACAACTACTTACAAGTGAACGGCTCGGTAGATTTTCCCCTAAAACTAATCAGTATCATTCCCAACTAATATCCTTCGAACAGTTTTTGATTTTTCAAAATCGATTCGGTAATATGAGCTTAAATGTGGACGAAAAGTTTAACACTTTTTTTTAAATTATAAAGAAACGGCTCGGCCGATCGTCGCACAAAACTGAGGAACGATAATCCTCATCGAGATACATCAAATGCTTTTTAAATTTCTGAAATCGGTTCAGGCGTTTTTGAGCAAACGTCGATGAAAGGTCTAATTTTGACAAACGCCAAAAAAACGATACTAATTTTTGCAAACTTTGATGAATTTTTAAAGTTAAACGAGTTGTCGTAGGGCCGTAATATTTTAGTATGATCTATAAGACTATGGTATCTCATAATTTAAACATGGATCTCATAAATTAGTTTAATCACAACATTAATAATCATTTATTCACTAATTTATTGTAATGAATGGGGCATTACAGCGCTAGTTCTATAAAAAATTTAAAACAAATTTCAAGCCTTGACATAGAATTTATGAACCTGCATTCAAAATTAATTTACAACTTTTCTTAAAATCACATTTCATATGTGAAATGTAATGTCAGCCCTATCATTTCATAATTTTATAGAATGTACATAATTTAATCGTGTTCAAATAATTTTAGATTTTAATGCAGTAATTTTAACCAATATTTTGCAATATAAGTAAATATTTAGCATTTAAGTACAATCATTAATTAAATACAAAAGTAAACAAAATCTGATTTGTACATATAAAATTTGAGGTTTGTGAACTACATATAGCATTGAAACAATATTTAAATTGAATTTAGAATGTAAATCTTGTTTGTTAAAATATTTCACAAATGGAATTATTATTTTTGGTTTATCACCAATAATGTTTTGGAGCTGTAATTAAATACAAAAGTAAACAAAATCTGATTTATACATATAAAATTTTGGGTTTGTGAACTCAATATAGCATTGAAACATTATTTAAATTAAATTTAGAATGCAAATCTTGTTAGTTAAAGTATTTCATAAATGGAATTAATATGATTGGTTTATCACCAATAATGTTTTGGGGCTGTAATGTGGTATTGACTTATAATATTTTCTTAATATATACAGTTTAGTATACTGAAATTTTTGTTAAAAATACTTCACATGTGTTACCATAAGTCATGACATTTTTTATACCGTCAAAAAAAATTTCATGAAAATTGTCGAATTTTTTTTTTTAAACTTTATTCCAAAAAAACGGCCCGGCCGATCTTTACCAAAAACTAATCAACACGATTCCCAATCGATTCAGAATTGCGGGCTAAAACATGGACGAAATTTTTTTCACTTTTCTGCTATTTACAAAGAAACCGCTTGGCTGATCATCGCGCAAAATTGATAAACGCTAGTCCTCATCGAGATACATGGAATGGCTTTTAAATTTTTCAAATCGGTCCAGCCATTTTTGAGAAAACGTCGATTTACGGCAAAAAATCTGTTCACACACACACACACACACACACACACACACACACACATACACACACACATACATCTTTTTCCCTCTACATTCAAATATTATTGTTTGAAATTCTTAACTTTACTTGTTTTTGAATTATCACTTTTTTGCTATTTACAAGGAAACGGTTTGGCTGATCGTCGCGAAAAATTGATAACGATAGTCCTCATCGAGATACATCGAATGGCTTTTAAATTTTTGAAATCGGTTTAGGAGAAAACGTCGATTTACGGCAAAAAAATCTGTTTACACACACACACACATACACACGCTTACTTTTTCCAAATTTGGTCTCATTCGATTCAGAATGGCTTGAAACGTCCAGGAGAAAACATAAAATTAGCAAATCGGATTTTTTTTATGAAAACATAAACTTCTCCTTCGGGAAGTTAATAAAAAATAGAAATCTGTTTAGGTTTAAAGTTGTTTTTATCTTACCTGGCAGTACATGGCCCTCCTCAAGCTCTCGACATCATTGTAACACTCCAACAAAACAAAATCAACAGCTCCATTGAGCACTTTGCCATAACTGACATCAGCCATGGTTTTATCGGTGATATCATTTATCAAATCATCAATCTGCACGTCCTCCTGCAAATTATCAACCTTCTTATCCTCACTGCCTTCCTCGCTATCACCTAAAATCATCTGGTTATCCCCGAATATCTCATTCGACTTGTTATCTCCAATCTGTGATTGCAGTATCGTGGCATTAACCAAATCTTCAAGTCTTGTTTTAACCAATCCATCACCATTAACACTCTTTTGTTTCCTCGATTCCCTTATGATCCTTTGCACCGTGTTTTTGAATTTGGTCTTTTTGTATAAGAAATTTAACTTTTCGTAAGCTGCCAACTCGCAACTGACTGCAGGACGTATTTCGTATAATAGAAAACGACATTTTTCCAGAAGAGGCAGACAGACTTCTTTGTAACTTCTGTTGAGTTGCTGCCGGATTTTGATGAGGTTCCATTTGGTTTGGTGGACTGCACGAAGGACGTCCATGAGCGGCCTGGTGAAACGGGCTTGGGAGGTTGTGATTTCTGGAAAATGATATAAAATGTCAACATTTATTTGTGCACATATATGTTATACTAGATGACGCGACAGACGTTGCCCTGTACCAATGTCTACATTTTTTTAATATAATATACTAACATTTACAGTTTACCTAAAAATAGAAATTATTGTCATGTAAATTACTCTTCACGCCAAAATGCATATACTCGTACTTTTATAATAGAGCGATGTTAAATGTAGAACTGCTTTAAATAAAATGATGAGTCTCAATTCCCACACTATATTGGAAATTGAAGTCTTTTAAACGGTATTACATAACCATAACAATAACACTGGTACTTCACGTTGGATTAAATAAATTAATTTTTTTATTATTTAAGATATCCAAAATTGCATCTTAAACTTCTCCTAATTGTATGTATTCATCTTCACTTTCCCATTTGTTGTTATAAAGTGAAATTTTTACGAATTTTAAAAATATTGTGTATATATATAAATAAAAAACAATAATGTAAAAAAAAGATTAGTGAAAAAGGCAAAGAAATTATATATTGAAAACAAAACTATATTGAAAATTTAATATACGAATCTTGTGATGGTGCCCCCTAAGTCGTGCGCTCAAATTTTTTGCATGCATCGCATTAAGGGTAGGCTGATTAATACTTAATTTCATGTTTCAAGTGAATTAATTTGTCATATCTTGTTCATATGTGTATCATTCAATCTGCCATACATATACTGTATTTTATATTATTTTAATGACACAAAAAATATTTTCAGAAGCGCGCCCAACCTGGCTAAAACGAAAAATTGCCAATGATCTCATAAATAGCCATTTGTAAACGCTAACATTAATATTATTATTATTATCTTATTTCTAATATTGTTCTTTTGTTATATTTTATTGTTTTTATATAGTATTATTTTATTATTCAGAAATTTTATTTATTTTATTTTTATTATTATTTGCTTTTATTTTATATTAAATCTTCATACTACGGATATCATTTTAATGTAAATTCTATCCTTTGTACTCTTATTTATTTAAATTTATGTTATTATTATTACCATTATTGCTAGATGTTATATTATTTAACAGTTGTAATAAATATTGTAATTAAAAAAAATATATATATATATTATTTTAATTTCTAGCACATCTCAGCTGCTTTTGGAAATAATAATGTAGACATTTCATTTTTCTTATTCATAATCATAAATTTATTATACGTATTCTAATATTGTCTAGGTTAATAAGTAAATTGAAATTTTTGGCAGATGATAGTTTTCATTTATATTGCACATAAATCCCAGTACTTTATAATCACATACATCCTAGAAATTTCCTTGACAAACTTCAGAAAGATTGATCAAAATCCGAATAATCGTTTAGATGGAGTATACAGCGAGTGCCTGGTAATTTAATATGAACTTTATATAATAGCAATAAAGCTCAAATTGATTCTACGTTTTAATTAGAAAACGTTTGTATGTGAAATAAGAAAGGGCTGTTTTTAGTGTTTTCCCGGCAATTATTCGAACTTTTCTCGCCGTAAGAACCATCCTTGGACTTCAACGAACATTTAAAAAAAAGAATTGGCCGAATCGGTCCAGGCTTTGTTGAGTTATGCACTTGCCAACAACACATTTTGCGATTGATTTTTATATATAAGATAAGATTACCTTTGTCAACCATGGCGACAGCCAAAGCACCTAAGCCCTGGTGCTTGATGAGAACAGCTTGCAGACAACGTGCTAATTCCTGGACAGGATGATCTGGTGGAAAATCTTGATGACAAACTAAACCGTGTGCTTTACAATGACGATCTACGAGTGCCAACCAGACAGACACCAAGGGCTCCTGGATAGAAAACAAAAGTAAAACTAGTGGTGCATGGGGTCGTGCCTTAAGGCAAATTGCTGGAACTTCCCGTACCGTAATGAAATATTCGAGAAATTTTAAACGTTTTCAAATATATTATTATACAAATACTGTGACTTTCATTGTTTTTGCTATCTTGTTTGTTATATCTGAGCGAATCAAATGTAAATCATAAATCACCAGAATTTATCTCCAGAACATTAACAATCGTCATTTCATTTCGAATTCAATTTCAAAAAAAAAAAGTTGCCCAAATAGTTACACAAAATTGAAAAAAGTGCTCCCGTATAGTCATAGTCTAAACGCATTTGCAAATAATACTGTGCGACATTTTCACTTATACTGTGCTTAACTTGGCGGCATTTTCACATTTTTCAATAGTTTTCACAAAATTGCAAAAGTACACCAGTACATAAACAGTCTAAACGCACTTGGGTAAACATTTGTACCAGAGTGGCGCTTAGAATATGCTTAGTCTGATTTGTATTTTATAAAAAAAATTATATGTATGTTTACAAAAAAAATGTTTTTTTTTAATTTGATTTTTTTGACAATTTTGATTTTTTTTTCAAAATTTTAATTTTTTTTTAAAGTTCTATTTCATTGAATTTTTGGAAAAAACAATTTTTTTAAATTTCTTGAGAATTTGGAAATTTTTGAAATTATTCGATTTTTTTTTAATTTCGAAATATTCTCAATTTTTTGTAAAATTTTGATATATATGAAGTTTTTCAAAATTGAGTTTTTTTTTTGAAAATGATAAAAAAAATTTGAAAATTTGAATTTTTTTGAATTGATTTTTTTTTGAAAATTTAGGATTTTTTTGAAAATTTTCAAAATTACAAAATTTTCTGTAAATGCAATTTTTGTCGTCTACTCTAACAAAATTAAATTAATCTAATCGAATTATCCGTTCTCTCAAAAACTGCATGACCATTTTTACACCCTCCATTCGCGCTCGTTATCTCCGAAACGGCTTGACGTGCCTTTTGCAAAAACACCTCGCGATCGAGTACGAACCCAATATTTTTTCAATCATACAAATCGGCTATTCCATACTGTCGAAAATATCGAGGACATTTCTTTGAATCATATAGAATTTAAAAATTAAAAATTGGCACTGAACCCAAAAAAATTACACGAAATGTGTACACAATATTAAAATGTTTATGAAATATCTGATAATTATTTTTATTGAGAGCCCATAACCGCTGGATCTGTCAATACAAATAAAATGTTTTTTGAATTATCAAATCGGACGCTCCGTTCTCTCAAAAACTGAATTTTCTGCACTTTTTGCTACGTATGTTCGAAATGGCTAGACCTGCTTATGCCAAAAACTAATCAGCACGTCTCCTTATCAATACGAATCGAATGTTTTTTAAATTATTCAAATCGATTAACCGATTAAAAATGGAGCTCTCGATAAAATGATCCGCTAAAACTCGAAAACGGCTAAACCGATTTGGCCAGTCTAATATATATATATATATATATATATATATATATATATATATATATATATAGTATATTTAAAATATATATTATTACCGTTAGTCTGCTCTCCTGCAAAGCCTGCAGCAGCGCTTCTCCTCTCTTCTCCAAGCTTTCGACCTGCCATCTCTTCTTCATAAAGGATCTCAATTTAGGATTATCATTGAAAATGCTAGGAGCATCACCAGCAGGAGCTGCAAGTGGTTGAATTTGTGCAGGAGGTGTTGATACAATTCCTGCAGGCGGTTGTGTGGGCGTGGAACCTGCTGTGGAGGCGCCGCAGCTGCGAGCTTCGGCTTTTTCTTCGTCGAAGGGATTTGTTGGCTGCAGAATCTAGAAGATAATAGATTTGTTTTGTAATTATAATGTGCTAAGTAGTTGACTATATATATATATATATATATATATATATATATATATATATTTTAATATAGATTTGTACCTGCAATCCGCCTCGAAGCATCACACTTTTCAAAGCCTCCTGACAAGATAGTTCTACGGGCTGCAAGGATAAACTGATGGAGAGACGATTTGCCTACAAATGGTAAGGACACAATAAACATTAGAACATTGAAAGAAGTTTCAGAAATCTTATATATAAAAATCGAGTCTCGAACAAATGATCCGCTAAAACTCGAAAACGGCTAAACCGATTTGGCCAGTCTTAGTTTTGAAAAATTCGTGCTGATCAGTAGGTTGTCGGAAAGGTGAGATATTATTTCAAAATCGCGTAGAAACTTTACATTTTTAATTTGAACATTTTAGTAGAAGCGTATTTTGAATAAAACAATGGACGGTGGCTAATACGTCAAATGTCAAACGTTTTTGACAGATGATGTTCAATTACGTTTAATAGAATGTTTTACAGGAATATTATATAATTATGATTAAATTGTAGTAAGTAGTTTTGTTTGTAGTTTTATTTATATACAAAAAAGTTAGTTAACGGACCGCAAGTGTTACTAGAAACTCAAAATATCAACTTTTTTGAAATGTTAATATGAAAATGAACTTTTTGGCATATTTTTCTCAAACACGGTGCTCTGAAAGATCTCATTTGTATAATTAAATACTCATTGGTATTTAAAAAACATTTTCTAGGTTATATTATTTTTTATTTATATTATTTAAATTCAGAACCTAAATTTGGTATCGATCGAAGGGACATTTTGTCGAGTAACATTTTCCCAGTTATAATTTCCCAGAATTTATCGAAGAATAGACAGTAAGATATGAAGGTCCGGGGTTAAAAAGATCCACCAGCGATGTGTCAAAAACCAGTAAAGTTAAGCACTGTTTAACAACCATATTTGAAAGTAGAGGGAAAAAGATGTAAAACCAGCTATAACCTTGATTCTCATGACTTTGCTATCGGGAGATAAACGGTTATCTTTGAAAATCCATAATAAAAGTATTTTCTTCCGTTGGTAGTTTTTTAGCATTAGTTAAAAATGTAATTATTTTGTAAAATATCTTTAAAACTAAAATAAGACATTAAAGGTTACCCCGCCTATAAGATAAAAAAGTCTATATAAAATTTTTTGAAAGACATCAAAAAAGCACATTTCTACAATGATGAAGTAGCTGGTAGTTTTACTGAACATAGTCAGATAATTGTTCGTTTGAAATGTGTTATTTGCAGTGCTATAATTGGTTTGATTTATATAATATAATTAATATTTGCTCAAAGTCAAATTGGACCTTTGTGCCTCGTCCTGCTCTACATTTATGCTTTTTATTAAATTTACTTTAATTCATCGAATGTTACTTACTTTTCAAAAAGCAGGTCAAAGAAGAAATATTTAATTCATTTTCTATCTCTCCACGCAAAATTAGAAAATTTTATATAGGCTTGGTAGTATTATTTGCAATTATACACAAAATACAGAATCCAAAAAGAATCTGAAAAACTTGAAACGTAATCAATAAGTCGAAAGACCAAAAAAGCCTTGGAGTGGATTATATCATATTTTCTATAGAAAGTGTATAAAACTTGCAGTTTGATTGTATTGACAAAATATAGACAAACTAATGGGGTTTATTGTTTTTATAATACCTCATTGTATATAGCATTCAAACAACACATCCTTATACACTTGAAGTGTTAATTTTTTTGATTCTCTAGAAATTGTTTAGAATATACCTTACTTGGCAAAACAACGTTTGCCGGGTCAACTAGTAAAATATAAAAATAGGAGTAATCATATGTTTTTACCTGCAATCCTAACAAATAACACAATGTCCTCTCGCTATCAGCAGCTGTCGATTTAGTGACCCTTTTCCATTCAGCACACTCCTCCTCCTGGTCCAACAAATTCTGCTGTTCTGCATCGCTATCTCCATTCCTGTTTCCATTACTTCCAGTACCACGACCTGGTTCAAATAACCAGCCCACACTGGCACGCTGAATTAATAATTCTTTGAGTCTCATATGGGCTGCAGATTCTGGTGAACTTGGAAGATGAATGTCGGATGTAGAGGTGAGAGAACGCACCAGATCAGCCCTTGAAGAAAAAAAAGGATTATTAATTATAAAATTGGGTATTGTGATTATTATGGTGATTATGATTTTTTTTTCAAATCAAAATACTAACCAAGATAACCTCAGGCTTACTTTTCCTTACTTTAAAAGACAGGTTGATCATGTACAAACCAAAAAGTATTGATGGGATATTGATGCAACTTGGCACAAGGCAAAATGCTACTCGCAACAAGTAATTCAGATAAATTTTAGCTTATAAAATTATCTACAAACGTGCTTTAGTAATGAATATCATGAATATAAAATTTCTCCTTAAAAATTTGGTTTAAACACTAACCAATACTTAACCCATCCAAACCTTTGTTGCGGGTCATTTGTTTAGATTTTAGTTCATAACTCAAAAACTATTTATCTTAAATTAGTACTTCATTCAGATAAATTGTAGCTTATAAAATTATCTACAAATTTTAGATAAAACTTTGCATGATGTTATGGTTGATACTCAAAACAAACAGATGTATTAATTGATTTTTATAATTAAACCACTTCTTATAAGCCTATAATATTTTAAGGGGTACGTTTTGAATTACAATTCTTTCACCATGAAAAATTTCACCTTGTAAGTTAAAATTGTTTAATATTTGGAAAGTTGAAAACATAAAATAACTAGTTGTGAATGGCATCGTGCCGTAAGGCAAATTGCTGGAACTTCCCGTACCGTATTGAAATATTCGAGGAATATTAAATGTTTTCAAATACATATTGTTATTTCCATTATTCTTATAAGGACAAGATATAAGAGCTTATGAATTGAAAAAAATATTTTTTGAAAATTAAAAAAAAAACTATTGGTGCATGGCATCGTGCCTGAAGGCAAATTGCTGGAACTTCCCGTACCGTAAATCCGTAATTAAAAATTCGAGAAATGAAAATAGTCAATAATTGTTTTGAATAATTTCAAATTATTTAATATAAATTATAATATAATAGATTATTTATTATAAATACACACTGTAAATGTATAAGTGCTTATTATATTATATTATAAGTGCTTATTAAATTTCTCCAATTTTTTTTTAATTTGATTTTTTTGAAATTTTTTTAAAAATTTGAAATTTTTTGGAACTTTTGAAAAAAAATCGATTTTTTAAATTTTTTGAGAATTTGGAAATTTTAGAAAATATCCGATTTTTTTTGAAAATTTTGAAATATTCTCAAATTTTCATAAGAAATCGTTTTTTTGATATTTTTCGAAATCGGTTATTCCAATCGAAAATTTCGAGGATATTTGTTTGACCCATATAAATAAACTTCAAAATTAAAAATTTTGGTACGGAACCCAAAAAAATTGACAAAATGTGTACACATTATTAAAATATCTATGAAATTTGTGATAATTTGATGTGCATATGTCCAATGAACATTTTTGACCGCCAAATGGATTTTTTAACTTATTTTCATTGAGAGTACATAACCGCTGGACCTGCCTTTCCAAAAACTAATCAGCACGTCTCCTTATCAATACGAATAGAATGCTTTTTGAATTATTCAAATCGGTTGATCGGTGTTCCCGAAATCGTCGACGAAAATTTGTATCCGAACACACACACAAACGCACACACACATACACGTACATCGATTTTTTCTAAGGTATGACAAAACGTTCAGAAACCTTTGAAACGTAAAGATATATAAAAATCTTCATTTTCGATTTCGATTTCGACCCTACGGAATGTTAATAATCAAAGTATATGCTGCTCACCCTTTTTTACCATATATAATCTAATAATTTTTAAATCAACTTACACATCATTTCCTTCAGTGGCTAAATAACCACCAGTCATCAGAGCTTGAACATCGCAAACCATTCCCTGAACACAAACCCAATGTCCACCATCCAGATTGTGATTTTCAACTTCATTACGATGAATCCAAATCTATAAACAAAAATAAAAATAATAATTATATATAAATAACAATAAATGCAAAACTATAAGTAGGTCATGTTCAAAAACATCACACTATCCTTTAACTCAACTTAGCACTTATTTGTAAATGTCTCGCTGAAGAGTTTCGAATACTATAAAAACTATTTCACATAATTTTTCATATTGTATATTTGTTTTGTATTTGTATAGATGTATATGTGTATGTAATTCCATGCAGTGTATGTTTATTTGTAAAACTTAGCATAATAGCTTATAGAAATTTATAATTTTTGATTGCTAATAATAAATATATATGAAAATAAAAAAGAGTGCGCGTAAGGATCACACGCGATTGAAGTAAAACTTATTTGCTACTGTATAAAGTAGCAAATTTAGGTTGAGTAAAAATAAATACATCATATAAAAATTTTGAATAATGTTTATTAGTAATATGGTAACACTCGTGATGCACACATTTATTAGTGTCGTCAATCATTATACACATTTATATAATGATAAATTATAAATCATATATTTATGATTACATTAAAAATATGTATAATATTTACAAACAATAATGTAATCAAAGTCGTACTTGAAATATGACATGATCGTTTTAAAGTAATTGCTGATTAATAAATTCTATAATATTCATTCACACAGTGGATTATGTTAAACAACGCCTAAACAAATATTGTTTTTGCAAATTAACTCATCCTGTAACAATTCTGTTTCATGTAATTAAAATTAACATACATTCATTTACTGTTTGTACTTTTTAACTTTTTCGCTGACGATATAATCTCATTCCTTGAACAGCTGTATAATATCCGTCTTGCCTAACAAATTGAAGCCATACTTTTATATTTGTTTTATTTATCAAGCCCTGCACATAGCTTGATCTATGAATCATTTGCTTTTATGTGAACGTTAATGCAATGATCATCATCAATATTACGAGGTAATAAATTAACCATATTATTAATGTCAACAGGCACATTTATAATTTGGCCAAACATTTCAAATTGTCCATTTGCATGTCGCAATCGTCTAATTTTCATGAAACACAACCTAGGTGAAATTAATCTTTCAGATACAGTATCTAGTTTAGATAGATAATTTGGTATAGGTGGAAATACAAACCCGTAAAACTTACACAAAGTGGGAATTTTACCCGAATTTAATATCTTTCGACAAGTTTGACATCCAACCTGATTATTTGAATCAATATTCAAAAAACATCATTAAGAATTTGTTTTTGAGCATCATTTGATATTTCTAAGTCACTTTTGAAGCCAAAGTCGATCACACACAAAACATACATATCTATATAAACATACATATAGCTATCATTTCTTACGCAGCGCAGATTTTTCCTTTGTTACATTATTTATTTGCGATCATTTGCACTACAATTATTTATGGGGGACGGGATAAAATATTCTTCCGATCCTGACATTTTTATTAACTCACGAATTATACTGCTAACCCATGTCGCGCCTAAAGAAGTTTTACTTCAAAAAATGTTTAGAGACTACGAGCTAAATACAAAACTCAAGTGAAAGTCGACACATTTTGTTTTGTTTTTGACATATGATTTGACATTTGATGTATTTTTTGTTTTGCTCGCAGACTAGATCGAATAATTGCGATTGCTGCGCTAACTAGCGTCGTAGTCTTCAACTTCACGTCGGCGTTTTCGTTGCATTTGTACGGATTTACACCCGTGTCGCGCCTAATGAAGTTTTTACACCCATGTCGCGCCTAAAGAAGTTTTACTTCAAAAAATCCTTTATCTCACCTTATCATCAACTTTATCATCATCTTCATCCGACCTATGATGCACTCTCCCAGCAGCTCCACCGCTGATGGAACCAGGGCCGGATCCTGCCCAACCCAAATCATCTTTATCCTCTTCCTCCTGTTGATCTTCATCCAAAGTTGCAGACAGATCAGTAGCCCTCACCAAGCCGTCCAGGGCGTCCAATAAAGGCAAGAAGGCATCAGGCCAGTCGAATTCTGCCATGTTACCCGAAGCTGTAGTCATGGGCCCGCAGAGGGTTATGAGACTTGTCAGGAGTTCTGGGACTAATGTATCTAAAAAGATAAATGATAACATATAATATGTTGTGTAGTGGAGATGGGCTTATCATATCCGAAGGCAGATCAGTTAGGATTTGACTCCGCTTCAGAGAGGAGTTCTATCCACTTAATAACTCCACGACTCTGATAACTTTGAAACATAATACTTGACACAAATGTGTTCTCTAGTGTGTTGTTAACATATCTAAGGATTTATTAAGACTTTAGAAAAAGTTTACAAATAGTTCAAACATTTTTGTTTATTTTATTATAATAAGTACTATTTTATGCATTTCAATATGCATACAAATCTCAAATTGACAAAAAACTTGGGAATCAAAATCAAATTTGTAATTAGTTTTGAAGAGAAAATATAGAATTCTTTGAATATGTTCATTTTTATATAAAAATAATGCAGTGAACCTTATATATGAAACTAGTTGGTTTGGTATTTAGCCTTGAGGCAAGTTACATGAACTTCCCGATATGTGTAAATAATCGACTTAATCAAAAAAAAATGTGTAAATAATATACTTCATCAATCCTACTTTAAAAAAACGATAATAATTTTAGCAAAGTTTGACAAATTTTTAAAATTAAACTACTTGTCGTAAAGCCGTAATATTACAGTAAGACCAAGATATCGCCAAAAAAAGTTCCATGAAAATCGGCTTAAATTTTTTTTTTTCAACAGTTCATTACAAGAAAACTGCTCGGTAGACTTTTATGTGAAACTAATTAGTTTTATTGCCAACTAATATCTTTCGAACAATTTTTGATTTTTTAAAATCGGTTCGGTAGGATGAGCTTAAATGTGGACGAAAAGTTTAACACTTTTTTTCAAATTGCAAAGAAACGGCTTGGCAGATCGTCGCACAAAACTGACAAACGATAGTCCTCACCGAAATACATCAAATGGCTTTTAAATTTCTAAAATCGGTTCAGGCGTTTTTGAGAAAACGTCGATCAAAAGTCTAATTTTGACAAATTCCAAAAATACGATACCAATTTTTGCAAACTTTGACGAATTTTTAAAGCTGAACCAGTTGTCGTGGGGCCGTAATATTTTAGTATGATCTAGAAGACTATGGTATCTACCGTCAATAAAATAATCATAAAAATCATCGATTTTTTTTAAAAAAAACTTTATTACAAGAAAACGGCCCGGCCGATCTCTACCAAAAACTAATCAGCACGATTCCCAACCAATATCTTTCGAACGGTTTTTGAATTTTCAAAATCGATTCAGAATTGCGGGCTAAAACGTGGACAAAAATTTTTCACTTTTCTGCAATTTACAAAGAAACGGCCCGGCCGATCGCCGCACAAAACTCAGAGACGATAGTCCTCATCGAGATACATCAAATGGCTTTTAAATTTTTGAAATCGGTCCAGCCGTTTTGGAGAAAACGTCGATTTACGGCAAAAAATCTGTTCACATACACCACACACACACACACATACACACACACACATACTTTTTCCAAATTTATTCTCATTCGATTCAGAATGGCTTGAAACGTCGAGAAAACATAAAATTAGCGAATCGGATTTTTTGATGAAAACATAAACTTCTCCTTCGGGAAGTTAATAAGAACAAATCTCTGTGTATAATATTTTTCACAAAATAATAATACCTCACATTCTTTTATCATATCCTTTTCGAGAATTAATTATACATCAGGTAGTTTGATTTGCATACTATTATTTTTACACAATAATAAAATCATAATTGTGTAAAAGTTATAATATGATACTAAATATTTTTTAGCTGGTTGTATACCTTTGAAAGAGCTCATTGGAAGGACATACATTATCGTATACAGAATATAGACAACAAAATAGCATTATTTTGAGACATTATAAACCCAGAAAGTCCTAAAACTGCCTGTGAGACGAGTAAAAGACCACTTCTTTCGATCCAAATCTTTGTATTAGTAAAAAATCTCAAGCAGATATCTGCACATGTTAACAGATTTAGTATCAGTTTAGGGAAGTCTGATATGACAAATCCTGTGAGACAACTCCACTCGGATTCACTCCGAGGGAAGAGTTGTATCAAAGTGATAACTCCGGGGTGAGTTACCCATCTCTATTGTGTACAAATAAGTCTTTTTGAAAAAGTTTTATTTATACTGACCCACAATATCACTTCTCAATATACGGTTGACGTTTTCTTTAGCCTGTGGTCTGTTGCGTAATACATTTGTGGCTCTAATTAAAGTTTCAGCAGCCAAAGAACTGACTCGTACGATATATTTGGCTAGGAGGCCTTCTGCACCTCTCAAAGCTTCCGATTCTAAGTCATCAGGGTCTCCAGAATTTCGATGTTTGTAGATATGTGCTATTAGTAATCTGTAATACAAATTACAAAGAAAAAATTAATTAATTAACAAAGTGGTATATGGCATCGTGCCTTAAGGCAAATTGCTGGAACTTTCCGTGCCGTAATGAAAAATTCGAGAAATTTTAAACGTTTTCAAATATATTATTACAAATACTGTAACTTCCATTACTTTTTTTGCTATCTTGTTATATCCGAGCAAATCATAAATGTAAATCATAAATCAATTTATCTCCAGAACATTAACAATCGTCATTTCATTTCAAATTTAATTTCAGAAAAATAGTTACCTATAATTTACACAAAATTGGAAAAGTGCTGAAAGAGTCACAGTCTAAACGCATTTGCGAATAATTCTGTCCAACATTTTCACTTATACTGTGCTTAGCTTGGCGCCATTTTCACTTTTTCACATTTTTCAATAGTTTTCACAGAATTGGAAAAGTTCTCCAGAACATAAACAGTCTCTAAACGCACTTGGGTAAACATTTGTACCAGAGTGGCGCTTAGACTGTGCTTAGCCTGGGGAATTTTTAATCCAAAATTACAAAAATATTTTGTGGAAAATTAAAAAACATATAATTTTTTATCCTCAAAAGCAATTGTTTTGTCAACACAAGCACAAAGTGTTTTGAATCATTTAAATCGGATGCTTGGTTCTTTCAAAAAGCGCCATTTTTAGGACATTTAACTTCGTACCTCCAAAACGGTTGGACCTGCCTTTGCCAAAAACTAATCGGCACATCTCCCTATCAATTGAAATCGATTGCTTTTTGAATTATTCAAATCGGCTCATCCATACGCCCGAAATCGCCGACGAAAAATTGTATCCGTGCATACATATACACACACAAACATCCATTTTTTTCTAAGGTCCATTAATCACGTGATCGATTTTTTAAGAATTTTTGGACCCCTCCCCTTGATGATACGTGGTGATATCCAAAATTAAACCGCCCTCATCCCCACCAAACATCAAAAGAAAAAATTGTTTTTTTTTTTATTTTTTTTTTGTAAATGTTTAGATTTTTTTTAAATTCAAGTAAAAACTAGATACACTTCATATCTTACTATATCCCTCGCTTTCCCGTGTTATATTTCGTGATTGTTTGTCAAATACCCCCCCCCCCCCCCCACGCCCTAAAAACCTCACAAGATTAATGGACGTCTCCTATACCAAAATGTTCAGAAACCTCTGAAACGTAAAGATATGCCAAAATTCTTCATTTTCGATTTTTTGACGTTTATAATAATTTTTACCCTACGGAAAGTAAATATAAAACTATTAAATTGTACTAAAATTTATATTATTGAAGTAAAACTTCTTTAAGCGCGATTAGAGTGTATATCTGTGAAAATGCAACGGAAGTACGTTACGGCCGAGTCGAGTGCCAATGATTCGTCATTCGCTCATTTATATACGGGTCGATTGTGATTGGTCGTCGTATCGCGTGAGTATAATTGCTTTGATTGTATAGTAAAAATAATAAAACAAATGTAAAATCTGTGCCATGTAAGAAACGAAAGTTTATTGAAGTAATTTGTATTATCCGTGGTTCCTATATATTTTCGAGGTTATTAAAATGGAAATTATTTTTATAGGCAAGACAGATATTACAGCTGTTCAAAAAATAAGACTGTATCGCCAGCGTAAAAGAAAAAACAACAAGCAGCCAATGAATGTATGTTAATTTTAGTTACATGAAGTTCTTCAAAGACAATTACATGATAAGTGAAATTGTGCAAACAATATTTATTTAGGCATGGTTTAACGTAACAATATTCTGCATTTTTATAGGTACCAAAGAATATTAAAGCAGCACAGCTTTATTCTATCATGCCCAAGATAAATCTTGTTCAGAATTATATCTCAGACACTTTTGGAAGCTTAGAGGAAGTCTACATGTTTTTCGATCATGATGACTATTAAGTATTACAAAGTTGCATGTTTTTATAAATAATGAAGAATAAATTGATATTCAGATGTATTACTCTAAACAAGAAATCAAGTGCAATAATTGTTTGTTGTATCATTTATATACAGATATACTTCATAATGGACATCTATGCAGTTTTTTCATTGCCAGTGTTAATGAAATTACTCAAGATCATTATATCTTTTATGAAAGCAAAAAAGTTTTACTCTTTTTTTATTCTATTCCTTACCTTTGGAATTTCAGCAACAAATTTAAACTAGGTGATGTCTTTGAATCAAAATTCGTCGGTATCTTTCCGCCAGAATTTTGTTGTGCAAGCAAAGATTGAGTTATAGAGCTTCCAGTTCTAAAATAAAAGAAACAAACACAATCACAAAATATTCATTAAACAACTTGCAGTAATTTTTGTACCTTAACAACTGATTTATCAGCAGCAACAAAGGTAAATCATTAGGCGTACTCTCCATCACACTTTCCTTCATAGCCCCGGTGCCTCCTGTGCAAACAATACCATCATCATATATTTATATTTATATTTATATTTATATTTATATTTATATTTATATTTATATTTATACTAGCTGACCCGGCAAACGCTGTTTTGCCATCAAAAATATTTTGCCGCATTGCAGAAGTTCTTATAATATACATGATATATTAATAATAATGTTATATTTTTATTACACAAATTTCTTTACATTTTGATAATTAATTCGAACGCATCATAGTGCTTTCTTTATTTTAATTTTATTTATGTCAAATAGTGAAATATTTTTAATCAATGAATAAATTAGATTTTAGTCTGAATCATCGCAGTACCATTATCTAAATATACAATTTTTATATAAATATCAGATTTTTTACTTTTGCATTTAATTTAAAAATATTGAATGTCAATTTCATATATCCAATATGCACTAAATTTTTAAATGCCAAAATATTTCCTTTTTGATTCGAAATTTAATATAATATGATATAATTTATATCTATAATTTGATTGCCAATATTGCCTATAACATAACTTGGAATAATTAATTTATTTGTATCTTATTGAAATCGTTAAAAATTCATTTTTTTTGAACTGTCAGAATTTTGTTTATGATATTTATATTTATATTTATATTTATATTTATATTTATATTTATATATTTAAATTTATATTTATATTTATATTTATATTTATATTTATATTTATATTTATATTTATATTTATATTTACCATCATCCTGCACTCCCTCTGCCTCGTTATAAATCTTATTCCCTTGATCATAATTCCCCAACATCAAGTTATTCCCCACAGAGCCTCTCGGAGTCATGGCACTGCCTATACTTTTTGCACAAGTGATATTTGCAGAACCTCTAGGTGATTGGATTTGCACATTATTGATAATAAAGTTTGTGGAGCTTCGAGGGATATTGGTTTGTTGATTTGATAGGTTTTTGAAGGCGTTTGGATGCTGTTTGGGTGTGTCTAGGGCTGTTGTACGAATTGCCTGCAAGACTGCTAATTCTAAGCCTCCGTCTGCCATTAGGGAAGCAACTAGAAGGTCTGTCATGAATTTGTGGCCGGCTGATACATCACTTGGATCCACAGCTAAATAGAAATGATATTTGCTTCAATTAGTAATGACTAATCACAATAGTGAAACTAGTGGTGTATGGCATCATGCCTTAAGGCAAATTGGTGAAACTTCCTGTACCGTAATGAAATATTCGAGCAAAAAAAATTAATAACTAGTGAGGTGGGTGGCATCGTGCCTTAAGGAAAATTGCTGGAACTTCCCGTACCGTAACGAAATGTTCGAGGAATATTGAATGTTTTCAAAATAGATTATTATAAATATTGTAACATTATCTAATATTTATATGAATTATATAAACTGAATTGCAGAGTTAAAATTATTTGTTTAAAGTATATTAGAACTATAGTCAGAATTAAAAATAAAATCTGAATTATTTTCGATATACAAAAAATTAAAAAAAAAAAAATAAATAATGAAACAAAATTTTTTTTTCCAAAATCAATTATTTTGTTAAGACAAGCAGAAAGTTCTTTGAATCAATTGAATCTGATGCTTAGTTCTCTCAAAAACTGCCATTTTTTGTCATTTAGCTCTGTATCTCCGAAATGACTGGGCCTGCCTTTGCGAAAAACTAATAACCCCTTCTCCCAATCATTACTAATTGAATGTTTTTTAGATCATTCAAATCGGATACTCCGTTCGCTCAAAAATTCGATTTCTATTTTCTGCACTCTTTGCTCCGTATCTCCGAAACGGCTGGATCTGCCATTGCCAAAAACTAATCAGCTCTTTTCCCTATCAATAGGAATCGAATGTTTTCTAAACCATTCAAATCGGTTGATCCGTACGCCTGAAAACGTGGGCGAAAATTTGTATCCATACATACATACACACACACACACATCCCATTTTGTCTGAGGTATGCCAAAATGTTCAGAAACCTTCAAAACGTCGAGAAATGTAAAAATTTTCAATTCCGATTTTCGGTCCATTACAATAATTTACCCTACCCTATAATTTCAATTGTTTTTAAATATTTTCAAAGAGATAATTATAATTACTATACATTCATTCGTTCATAAAATATACAGTTACGATCTTATTGCTCAAAACACTTGAGAATGTTTACATTAACAAGAGATGCCGAATGAATCCATCTGAGGATATATTTCTTACAAGTAAAATAACACATATGAAATATATACATTTTTAAACTGAATTTTAAATTTAAAATTTACGTAGTTTTATATATATATTTTTTTTTGAAAATTTTGAAAAAAAATCTAAAAATTTTGAAATGTTTGAACCGTACAATTGAACTTTAAAAATTAAAAATCTTGATACGGAACCCAAAAAATATTGTAACAAAATTAGCCCACGTGCTTAAAATCACTATAAGTTATCTAATAATTTGATGCCAAATATATTTTTTTTCCTATTTCCTCTGTATCTCCAAAACCGCTTGACCTGCCTTACCAAAAATTTTAACAATTCTTCATTTTATCAATACAAGTAAAATGCTTTTTGAATCATTCAAATCTGGTACTCCGTTCTCTCAAAAACTGACGCACATACATCCATTTTTTCTGAGCTATGCCAGTAAAATGTTCAGAAACCTTCAAAATGTCGAGAAATGCAAAAATGTTTATTTTAGATTTTCAGCCCATTACTATAACTACCCTATGGGAAGTTAATAAAATTGAACTAAAATGTGTACCTGAAGGTAAAAGTGATGTAAGTGCTTTGGCTCTCTCGCTTGGTGTTGGCAAAAGAATTATCCAGCCGGCTTGTAAGGTTTTCTGAGCAGCTTCCTGAAAATTCGATAAACATATTAGAATCATCTTTTTCTTCGATATCAGGAAGTAATGTTATTTCTATTTACCTGTATGGTTTTTAAAATTCCTGCTCCACCTGCTAAATGAACAACCTTAGCCTTAAGACTGGACAAAAGCCTGGAACCTGCACTTAAGCCAATTGTTGAAGTGTCCACATTGTTTGAGATTATTGCATGTAACTAAAATAGTAAAATGTGAAACAAATTAGTGATAAAAGAAATTTTTGGTCGATTTTTATTATATAAAAATATATATACCAATTTTTTTTTTTTAACATGCGCATTAGGATACGAAAAAAATTCATTTGGATAAAAGGTGCAGAATAAAATTACGATTAAAATGATATATGAATCGTTAAGTGTGTTCATATAATTTTCTCGAAATTTTCTAGTTTTTCTTGAATTTTTCAACTGCAACTCGCCTGTAGGCCACACCGTGCGGAATTCGAAGTTGCGATATATGGAAAAAGAACTAAGAATTTTGAGACCTTTCTAACGATGTATAATACTTTATATGTTTTCTTTAGAGAAATATCGAATGGTGTGCATAGTTGCTGGAACCTAACCGCACTTTGCATTTCGACAATTAAATAATCATACAGATTGCCCTCTACAAGCCGAACCGTAAAAGATACGTAAAAACTTTATTTGGACGAAAGATGCTAAATAAAATTACGAATAAAATGGTATATAAATAGTTAAGTGTGTTCATATAATTTTCTCGAGATTTTCCAGCTTTCTTTGAATTTTTGAACTCGTCTGTAGGCCAGACCGTGCGGAATTCGAAGTGGCAATATATGAAATTAATATTTTCTGCTTTTATGTTTTTCTAATTACCTGTAACCTGAGCAAATTCAAACATGTAACACCAATGCATTCATTTTCTTGTGAAGGCGGATATCCTGAATCATCCATATCACAAACCGAGCCGAGTAATTGTTCAAGCATTCTGAAAAAATAAAATTATACATCAGAAAATATACTGATATCAAGCAAAACAATCATTTTTCATCTTGCTTGATGAATGATCAATTATCGTCTTGTCTTTTCATTGAATTTTGATGAAGATTTTTCTAAACTTACAGAAAAGCTTAAATTTATCCGCTCTATCTATTTCAAAACGATTCTTAGATAGGAAAGATTATCATTGATTAAACTAGGTACGTTTAATTATCGATCGACTCTTGCATAATCTGAGTCGCAAAATTATCCTATTGTACAAATATTTACCGATGTTTATAAGCTGCATGCATTGCAGTGGGTAAACCATCAATTTAATTCGTGTTATCTGCCCTTTTACTTATATACCAGATGCTTTTACATTCAGAATTAGTTATTTTTTACTAAAAATTTAGAGAAAATTTAGGCTGAAGAACAACGTTTGCCGGGACAGCTAGTATAGAGGATATAGAGAAGATATAAGAGATAGATATAGAGATCTAGATAGATATATATAGAGAGAGATATAGAGATATATATATATATATATATTATATATATATATATATATATATATATATATATATATTTATTATATATATAATATTCTTCTTTAATGATGCCTGTAAATATACTCCTCCTAAATGATTATTCGGATTTTGATAAATTTTTCTGAAGTTTGTTAAGGGATTTTTTTAAGATTTTTTGAATTATAAAAATATAGCAATATTGTATAAATAAATGGAACAAATTACAAAAAACCGCTTATCATTGTTTGACTTCGAAAATATTTGAGGCATTGTTTGATATTGAAAACAAATGAAAACTGTCATCTGCCAAAAATTTCAATTTACTTATGAGCCTAGACTATATTAGAATATGTATAATAAATTCATGATTATGAGTAAGAAAATTAAAATGTCTACATATTATTGCCAAAAAGCAGCTGAGATGTGCCAGAAATTTAAATAATATAAGATACAGTATATGTATGGCAGATTGAATGATACACATATGAACAGTATTTGACAAATTAATTCACTTAAAATATAAAACTAAGTGATAATTGTAAATAGTAAACGGTAAATATTAGTATAGGAGATTAAAAAATTGTAAGCATGGGTACGGGACAACGTCTGTCAGGTCATCTAGTATATATATAAACTAACAAACCTAAAAGTCTGTTCTGTTAGATCCACTACAAATGGTATTCGAGACTTCAGTTTCCAAGGCGAGATGTTAGACCAATAAATAGTGCTTGTTAAACTACAGCAAACACCTAAAAAAACAGCATTTAATTACAATACTGATTACAAACTTGACTCATATATTTATAATTTATCATCATTATTAAAATATTTTAACCTTACCACATATTTTTTTTTATCTGCTGTATTTGGTATAAGCGTAGGCTCTGTAATTAAGACTTCAGTATTCAAACTAATAGGTATAATCTAAAACCAATTACAAAATGTTGTTAAAAATACGTCAATTATGATGTTATATATAAAATTTATACCTGTTGACAATCATTGCTACCCCAACCGTACAATTCACCAGTATCGAGGATTGCAACTGCATGACCCATTCCAAAACTCATATCTACTACATGTTTTCCTAAAATAGAATAGACAAATGTAATATATATATATATATATATATATATATATATCAATTTATTACCCACCTGCCAATGCTATGACCTGTCTCGGTTTCATCTCATCCTTACAAATCCCAAAATGTCCCAGCAGTCCACCCTCGCATCGGCCCCATGTATAAAGTGCCCCATCGGCTGTAATAAGAGCACTCTGATTCTGACCACATCTCACTTTCAAAGCAAGTGCTCCGATTGTACGAGTTGCCACATCAGCATGTGGAGAACCTGCAGCAGAACCTCCTCGAGAAGAACCTCCAGAAGGCGCTTGTTAGATTCAGACGCACCGGGTAGGAGTAGGATTCATAGTTACCCAAACCTAAAAGGGATAATTGAAATATTAAATAAATTGTTTGAAACTGATGTTTATTATTTTCTTACCCAGTTTTCCGTAACTCCATCTCCCCAAGCATAAACAGCCCTTTCGCCGGTTTCAGTTTTACCCCCATTCTGGTCAACCAATTGTTCGGTTATGGCAACAACATGTCTTTCACCTAGGGCT